TCTCCCCATAGGAAAATAGCAAATTAAGTGACAGATTGTGTCGTTATGCAAGTGTCAATTTGAGTTTGAAACATTTTATAATGATCCACATTTTTTTTTAACAAATGACTGTAGCAAAAATAGATGTTAAAAATCACATGTCCAGAACACAGCTTCGCTCTTTCTTCACGGTGCTTTTTCATCAGAAAGCCATATGAAAGCAGGAACAAGAGAGAGAGAAACACTGACCGAAACAGAGAAACATAAATAACAGTTTAGTCGTATATTTAAATATGATAAGCCTTCCGATTGCGCGCCCAGCGGACGGTACTGTGCCTTCAACCTGACTTTCATTCCTCCTCCATTCACGTGATTGATTTCCTCTCGCTTGTTAAGTGAATTAAACGAATGCAATAAGTCTGGAGTCGGCGTGAAAGAACACGAAAAGGCCCCCTCCTCATCAATTGATACATCCACCTAGTGAGATAAGGCGCATGGGTGAAAAAAGTCACTTACAATCACTTAAGTTTCACTCAGCACTGCGCGAAGAGGCCCTCGAATTCCCCAATCTCGCGCTGGGCATCTCACAATTCCCTCCGATCGTCCACCAGTGGAATCGTTCTATTGATTATTGATGATTGTCTCTTGTCTGGTGCTGTAAATCAATTTGAAGCAATATATAAAATTTATACTCTTCCTCTCTCTCCATCTTCTTCGGCATCAGCGCGTCGATGGTCCGTGTGAGTCGGTGAAACATGTCGATCTGTCTTGTTGGGCTTTTTGGCAATTCTGTCTGGGGGTAAATTGAGATGATACATCAAGAAATGGCTGTTAATGTGAAGTAGGAGAAGGGAAATCAATTAAACTGTTTCCCATTCAATCTCCACGCTGTATTTGACAAATAAGACACCATTTCACGAAGATTGAAGGCGCGAGAAGTTGGTGGAAAAACTCCCACAAGCCGATGGAATGCACGCAAGTCACTGTTAAATCAACCTCTTCAGCATATGGTAATCAAAAACGAAGATCAACTATCATTCTCCACGCTTTTGACATCGATTGACCTCAATCAAATTGCTGAATACATTTTTCTCCTTCTTATTTTCACATCTCCGCCGCATGCCTTCTTCGGTGCCTTTCTTCACACCAATCGCCATTGCGCGGAGCGCGAGGAGAGATTCTTAACGCACTTCGCTCATTGGGGAGAGAAAAAAAAGTCGTCAAATTGTCACTGCAATTAAAGATCTTGTCGCTGAGACAAGAGCGAAATGCTGTGAGACAAACAGATCGAGTGGCTAAATTATTCAACGAGTGTCCTCGTCATTTCACGCCAATCAATCTTCATCCACCCGCTCAAACACGCAATCAAATTGGTTTATCAAAATTCTCTCCTCTCTTGCGACATCTAGCTTATATTTATGCTATTCAACTCAACACTCATTTGAATTTTACGGGTCAGAGCTGAATTTTACAAACTAAAAGTTCTGCCCATTTTGACTTAAAGCAATGTCAAGAGCAGAGTTTAATTTCAAAGCAAACGATCTATAATCTTGTCTTTAATAGAAACATCTTCAATAAAGTAATGCTCGCTGCATTGAAAATGTTCGGCAATAATCATTCCAAAAAACCATAATAAAATCCACACAATTACAACGAAAATTATAGCAATTAAATAGTCGTATTATATTTATAATTTAATTGCCACCGCAATTTAATTCCTGCCTATCGCCAGATACGCGAACGCCGCAGTTTGACGATTTACACCATAAATTTACTTATACTTCATTTAAATGTAAGTTTAAATACCCAGCCTGGGGAAGATCATCACGAGCTCGCCTTCCTCTCGCCTTCTCACTCTCGCCATTCGGGGCCCCGCATAGTGGCAGTAAAGTGGCCATCAAAGCGCGTTTAGAGAGTCATAGAGAGTGACTAAATTTCTTTATTATTCCCTCAAATACACACACGCGTGCGCATTTTAATTTACGATTATTTATTTTTATTATTGCAAGTCCTCCTCCAGAATATCAACAGTCAACAGCATCCAAAGACAAGCTCCATCTCAGCACTCTTTTTTTCTCAGCTCCTCTCAACTCGCAGTCCGAATGTGTTAAATGATAATTAAAGTGCCTTCTTTTTGCTCTTTTGTGCTCAACCAGCGACATTTCTCAATTTAACGACCACAGGACAAAATAAACACGCGTGTTGAAACATTTTGAATTATAAATTTTTGAGGGTGGCTTCCTTTGCTTCGCTTTGGCATTGCAGTTGCGCGCTGAGATTTGTATCATGAGCGTTTATTCTTCGGTTGTGAATTACACAAGTTGGACGTTTTATTAGCAACTTTTCAAACAATATATTAAACCGGCAGCGAGACGCAGAATTAACGTGCTCGTTTTCCATCAGTAAAATGACTCTTGTTGAGGCAATAAATGACTTCAGCTCCTGTATATAATTTTCAACAAACCATCAGATGCATTGATTTTTCATAAAATCCAGAAATTCACTTGCATTCAGTTAATGAATCTGAATGCGACACTGATTTTATGCCTTTTTATGCAACACAGTTGATAAATAAAATCTATTTAGCATTTGTAATCTTTATATGCACACGATAATATCGTGTTTTGAGCGATTTACAAAGATATTCAGTTCTTTTTTCTTCATTCTGTATGAAATTCTTAGTTATTTTGATAAAAGTGTTGAAGCTCATGTGAGCAGAATTTCACCTGATTGCCTTATAGCGTATAAAAATGATCCGCAGACTTCGGAATGGGCAGCATTTGATGGACACACTGAGGAGTGGAAGACGAGTGCAAAGTGGGGGAAAAGTTATTAGAATCTGTGGTGATCTCTCTTGTCTCCGCCACCGCCGCAATGCCCAGATTGTCCAGCGCGGATAAATTGAGCGAGAATAGAAGAAATTGATCCATAAAATAATGAGAGAACATGTAAGTGCCATTAAGAAGGTGATTTTATAGCGAAACAGATGTGTTACACTTTGCACTCTCACGCATCCGGTACACTTTGAAATCCGGGCTCTCCGAGCGCAGGGATGGCAGCAAATCCGTGGCACATCCGAGGGTAGGATGAATGCCACGGCATCTCGCGCACACATAATTTGGCGCGCGCGTGAAATATGATCTCGCGCATCTCTCTACAATAATTCATTCTCTTCCGAGCACCGCCGTCGCCCCTCGCATGAATGTGTCCACTTGATTATGACGATCGCCTTCTGCCCACTTGGACCGCTTAATGATGATCGCGGCGGAGCAATTTGCGATCATCGTGCAGAGATTCTCTGCGCCCATCCGCGCAGATGGGCGCAGAGGAGTGCAACTCTCTTGCCAATAATTGACAAATTGGAGCGACAAGGATGTGAGTCGCGCGTTCTTTTCCGCCATCGCATCTGCGCTATCGCTCGGCATCGGCAACAAATTAACACGCCACCAACATCTCTCTCGTTGCCCTTTTTCCCACCTTGCGCACATCCTGGCGACGCCGCGGTCAGGTTTTTATTGCCCTCAGCCTAATTAGACACTCGCGCATCATCCGAGCCGGTCGCCACGGAATGCTGCAGGGGGAGAAAATGATGACCATCAGGTGTGTGGGAGCCGGCAGACGACATTTTCTCAGAAACACATCTCCGAGTGCTGCGGCGATTTCATGCTCTCCTCCTCACTCAACGCCCCTTCGCGCCGCGCATTTGCATTGCGTCGGCTCGCCAATACCAAAAGTCTCACGCAATCCAATTGCTATAACTCGCAAATTCGTGTCTCCCTTTAATAAGATCCCACTATAAGGCCGACAGATCGTCATTTTGCAGAAGAATCTCACAAACACTACGTGGGATTTTATTCACTTTTGGCCCGATATTAATAGCGCGGCTCTGCTGCATTTGCAAGATTTGCAACAAATGCACCTTTGGCTCGTTATCCACGAATTTTCATATCTCCATCGAACGTTGCAGAGGCAGAAGGCCAAAAATTACAGACTGAGTCAAGGGACAGATATTACGCTCCGAAGTGGTGTACAGCTTTGTGGAAGTGTTAGGAATTAGAAGTGGTGAAATATCTAGAATATTTGCAATGTAATAGCTTCTGTTTCAACAAATTGAGGCATTTTCTCTATTATTTTACTTAGAAAAATACATTTTATTGCTTTTCTAGGTTATGCGATTTATATAAAACAGATTTCATCATTTTCATAACCCTTAAAGTCATCAAATTTGTGTTTAAGCTGCAAATATTTCTCTTTTCCTGGACAGAATTAGGCATTTTTAATCGAAAAAAAACTTCTTATTTACTGAGAAAAAGCTTTAAAGTCAATCATAACCTCAAAAAATCTACTTTTAATCTAAAAGAATGTTTCTTTGTTTAGTTATTTCCACGGTTTTCTCTCATTATCTAGTAGACATATTCAGAGATTTACTATATTTACTCATTTACAGATTTGGTAGAATTAAGATTTGTCCTAAAAGGATTTTTTAAGTCGATTTCATAACTTCACAATTAATTCAGAATTTTTCAAAGCATTTTCTGAAAACAAAACTTAGAAATAATTATGATAAGTCAGAATTGAGTGTGAAAAACAGTTGAAGGGGTCGAAGAAGCGATGGAAAATGCCTTAAAAAACGCTCAGAAGTATCAGGAAATGATGTACATATTTGAGGCAATTATCATCCCCTTGGAATGAACAAATTTTAGAACTCTTTCCCAGTCTCTAAACGCAATCAACTTGTTTTCGCATTCAATTATATGCAAAAATTGTTACTATGTTGCTGAACTACAAAGTGAATCATTTCAGAGTAAAATCTAGTGAGAAATCCACTAAAAACCTATTGGCAGTTTATTGAATTGGTATGTACATTTAGAACACCTGAAGTGAAGACCTTTGAACGCAGTAAAATGCACTGTTTCGTGAGACAGAAAGTATTTAGATTGCGGGAAGAAAGCTGAACAACGAAAATGATTACAAGTGAATGGCAGAAAATTGTTTAATTACAGTGAATTGCGATTGTCAATGAAATAGAAATAAACATTTTGAATGTAGTGAATTGAAATTTTGTGCACTTAATGAAGAATTTAGAATTATTAATCGACGTGGGAATATTTATTTCCAGAATTTTGCCATAACTGAATCCTTCTTCTCCAGCATATTCTGTCGATTTCGCATGGTCGCTTGGCTGAATCCTGAAAACAAAAAGAAAAACAGGACATTGAGACTCTTCAATTTGGCTCAAAGAATGAATATTCTTCTACCTTTAACAGGTGCAATTGGTTTCCTGACCATCTTGGGACTTTTCTTGCTGCGATATGGTGACATCCTCTTGTTCTCGTTGTTCACCTTGTTGAAGCGCTTCGGAGATGACTTCATCTTGAGATTCACACCATTCGGACCACTTGTTTGCGCCGTGACATTGCGCTTCTGATCCGTCAACACGGTTGACACACGGAAGGTGTGATTCATCTCCGGCTCGTGCGGTGGATCCTCCCCAAGAGGCTCAACTCCACTGAGAATATTTGCACCACTGGAGCTCGCCGGGGCAAAAAGTGGCACCGGAGGCACAGTTCCATCCATGATGAGGCGCTTCCGCTTCGCCGGATTGCGAAAGATGGCATCATCCGCCTCCTGCAACCTCTTCCCACCGGCCACGCCACCAACAAAATCCAGAACACGAACTCTGCTCAGCGCCTCGAAGGAGTCATTCTGATCCTCATCGGCAAACTTAATGCTCGCCTTGCCGTCGATCAGCTTCTGCAGTCGCTGCAGCTTTCGCTTCAGATTCACATCCATGGTATTGTTGTTGGCCCGCATCAGGAGGAACATCTGTTGCACAAGTTCACATCCCACCAGCAAAGCACTCTTCGCATTTTCCCACTCATTCCTCATCACCGAAATCATTTTCTCCATGTGCAGCAATTGCTGATCCTGCGACACGATCTTCTGCTCCAGATCCTTGTTCCTCATGTGCACCACCAGTATCTCGTGGTCATTGCTCTCCTGCACCTCCTTGCGCATCACCTGCAGCTCATCCCACAGCGTCTTATACTTGTCCATCAGCTCGCTCATTATTCCATTCTGTTCGTCCATTTGGCGCGAATACTTGTCCATAGAAGCCTCCAAGCGGGAAATGTCCTGCACAAAAGGATGAAAAGCGTCAGTTAGCATTGAAGGGTTAAGCATTTAAACAGTTGTTGTTATTTGAATTCTAGAGAAACTCTTCAAAGTCCAGCGAGATTAACAATGAGGTTATATAACATCACAGTGACAATCAACACACCGGCAAACGAGATTCCAAAACATCCCCATTTCACCCTGACAAGATGTTCAGCTCAATCCGTCACATAGCCAGGATGTATCCTGGTCTCAGGCAGACGTTGCTGCTGCAGAAGAGCACGGAAATCCCCATTGCGTACACTTCCACGAGAGCGCTCAGCCTCAGCCAGAGACGCCTCAAGAGCAAGGACAAGAAGAAGGACCACAAGAAGCCGACAAAGGTGGAGATCAACGAGGATCTCCTGCGGGAGCACATCAAGTACGACACTCTGATGGATCACATGCAGAAGGCCATCGTGAATCTCAAGGAAGAGTACATCCGGAACATCTCCCTGCGCTCCACCACAGGCGCCTTGGAGGAACTGAAGGTGAAGGTGGACGGAAAGGAGCACAAGCTGCAGGAGTTGGGACAGATTATCCGGAAAAATCCACAAGTTGTGGTGATAAATCTGAGTGGTTTTCCCCAAACAATTCCCGCAGTTTTGACCACACTGCAGAAGAGTGGCATGAATTTGAATCCCCAACAAGACGGAACCACTCTGTTCATCACTGTCCCTCCCGTGACGAAGGAGCACCGTGAAAATCTGGCAAAAGGGGCGAAGGCGCTCTTCATCAAGTGCCGCGACACCATCCGGACAACCCAGAACGACACCGTGAAGAAGATCAAGCGATCAGACAGCGTGAGTGAAGACATTGGCTACAACATTCAACACCAAATCGTGGCCATTGGGGACAAATTTGTGGCTGAGGCGGAGAAAATCCACGAGACGAAGCACAAAGAACTCTTGGGAGACAAGAAGTAGGGAGAAATAAAGACTTTTTCGCATGTTCAGTACTCACCGAAGTGTCCTGAACGCCATCCAAAGTGAGTATCTTGCGCTGTTCTTCGGTGTTCTTCTTGAATTTGGCCTTCAGAATCATCATATTCTGATTCCTCTTGATCTTAATCAGTGTGTTTGTAACACTACTGATCTCCTGATACAGCCGATCGATCTTCTGATTGTCCAGCGAAGCACTCTTGATCACCACAGTCGCTTCTTCCTGCACAACATGAGCGGCTTTCGTCGCTTCCAGCCTCTTAATTTCACTCGCCTGGGCGGCGATCTTCTCCTCTTGCTGCTGTATGATCTTCTTCAGGCGCTGGATCTCCTCCTCCTGACACGCTGTTTTCTTCGCATAGAACTCCACTGGCAAATTGGATCTGAGAATGTTCTGGCGACACGTCGTGCGGATCTTCTTGGCACGACTGGCGTACTTCAGCGTGTTGTACGTGTCGTCGTACATGAGAGACGAAGGAGACACATTGGCGATCATCACGGTCTGGCAGTTGCCGCCCAGGCTGTCCTTCAGGATCCTCGTGAGATTGGAGTCCCTGCAGAAAGAGCGCTGATTAGAATGCTGTCGGCTAAATCATCGATTCCACACGAAAGACTCACCGATACGGGATGTGATCCAGACCGTCTGCCAGCTTGTTGATGCAATTGCCGAGGGCCAGGAGTGACTTGTTGATGCTGGCGCCTTCCTTAAAGCGCACCCCGATGCCCTTGGTGCTGGAGGCCCTCTCACTGCCCGCCAGATCGATCATAGACAGCTTCACTGTGCGCTTCTGGCTCGTCTTCAAGTCCTCCATGCGAATGTGCACCTGGAAGATTGCGTGACTCCTGCTGCTCTCCGCATTCGCGTCCGTCGGATGCTGCGTGCGGTTCTGGTTGCCCTGCGAGAGAAGCGCGATGAGCTCCTTGGCGTCGTAGATTGGCTTCAGACTGAGCCCGGACACCACAACGCCCGATGAGTCTTCCCTCAGCTTCAGCGGTCCCGCCTTCGTGAGCAGATTCATCACCTGCTCGTTGTACACCTCCAAATAGGACACACCGATGGCGAACTTGCGCTCCTGCTGCAGCTCGCCCATCTGCCGGAACAGCTCCTGGATCGTGAGATAAGTGATGCCAGGCGTGCCTTCCTTGCCCAGCATCGTGAACGTCTTCCCGGCACCTGTGGCGCCGTACACAAACACCGAGCAGTTGAAGCCTTCCATCACGGAGGCGATCAGAGGCTCCATGCACGTCGCATAGATGTCCGCATTAACGGCCTCCGCCCCAAACACGTAATCGTACTCCATCGGCATCTTCTTCCGGACGCGTTTCGTCACGTCGCGGTGCTTCACCTTGGAGCCGTGGAAGAAGAACTCATCGTCATCATCCTCCGGATCGAACAGTAGATTCTGTCCGTCCATAACGCGGACAATTGTCCTCTGATTGGCCTCCAATTCCTGTCGACTGAAGGGCCTCACCCGGACAGCCACACGCATCTTTCCTTCCTTCCGAGCCATCTCTCACCTCAAAAACCAAATCCACGCACCACAGAGCCACTCACACGCTTATCTTCACCAGACTTTGTCTATTTTCCACACTTCCTATTTCTTTCTGGAGAATTTTACATGAAAACTTCACAAAACGCTTTTGTTGCCTCAAAAACCGTTTGTTTTCCCTTCCGTTTGGGCGTCTCTGATGCGACAGCAACGCCACTTAATCGCTTTCAAGCAGTCCATAACTGCTAGAAAGCGACATTCGAATGTAACGGCTGTTCGACTAGCCGAGACACAGGCCACAATTCGGCTGCCTCGGACTTTTCGCCTGAGTTCAGCACCTTTCTGGGAAGTTCCATCCCAAGATTTTCCATTTTCTATTCAACCTGCGCGGGAACGAGATTTTTCGAGATTTGACACCCGTTTGACAAGTCAATGTGCGCAGCACATAACCTCATATTGTAGAGCAACACCAAAACAATAGTCTCTTCTTGGTGGAATTATCCCGAATTTCCCTGATCAGAGTGAATCCTCGTGGCGACAATGAAGCTCATCACATATAATTTTCTCACATCAAAATTCATCCGCGGCGTAAAAGTTGGTTATCCGCTGAAATTGAACGTAAGTTGTTTGGCGACATCCCTCAAGGAAGAGCCTTTCTCAGTCAATTTTCTCATTTCCAGGTTGTCCAGAAGGAGATCAAGAATTCCGAATACAATCCAGAATTTATCACACGCATGATCCCGAGATTAGACTGGTCTGGCGTCTGCTTTGCCGCTGAACAGGTAATTAAGTTGATGGATTTCCCCTGTTAAGACTTGCTGACAATTCTCTCATCCCTCCTTCCAGGTGGGCTGTGGGGGTGATTTGCCCAAGGAGTTCAATGATCAGATCACAGGTGACACGGAAATCCTCCAGCGGTTGCACCACATCCTTCTGGAGATCGACATCATCGAGGGGAATCTACAATGTCCGGAAACTGGCCGTGTGTTTCCCATATCGAACGGCATTCCCAACATGTTGCTCAACGAAGAAGAGGTTTAGCTTCCTCGACAGATATATTTCTCTAGACAACAAATGCAAAAAAATAAAAACCCATATAAACAAATCTTCCTGTGTGGAATTCCCGTGGAGACTCAGAGAAGGAACTTCAGATTCTGGTCTGTGCGAGTGCGTCTGAGTACTTCCTTCAGTGCTCGGCTCGTGTCGAGGCCCCACTGGTCGATGGGCACCCGGTCGATGACGGCGGATCGGCCACCGGAGAGTGAGTGGAGGAACTTCCAGTAGCTGGGCCGCAAGTTGAGCGGCTCCACCATGGCGGCGTGGAAGAGAGTGGCCGTGAAGGTGCAGTAGAGAAAGATAGTGGCGCCAGGCACTCGCGGCAGGATCTTCCGCTCGATGCCCAACTTGTACGTAATCTGCAGCATCTTCCACATGATATAGAGGCAGACACTGGTGTCTGGATACTGGGAAAACATCGTGCTGGCCAGCAATCCCGCCGGCACTGCGTGGAAAGGCGAATCCCGGCCGATCAGGTGACGCAAGGAGCATGAAGTGGCGCGAAAGAGGGCCGAAAAGCCGCCCAGGAAGAGAGCAATCTTCACCACATCGCGACTTCTCAGGATGCGCTTAATTGTGCCGGGATTCCTGATGATCTTGCCCATCTGGAAGACTAGTGACAGCGTCAATTGCAATCCCAGGCCCACGCAGAAGAGCTTCGAGCCACCGTGGAGTGTGTACGAGGCGCAGGAGCCACGGTGGGGACATGAGAAGTGCCTCGGAAGGGTTCTCAGGAAGTTTATCACCCTCTCGCGAATGCCCCTGAGACTGTCGCCCAGGGGAAAGCTCGGTCGAGGGCGCGGTGGTTCGGCTGCTGCTTCCTCAGGCGGCTGGGCTTCCTCGCTCTTGCCCACCACGAAGCGAATGATGTCAAACAGGCCATCATTCTGAGTCTTATGCAGGCCTGAGCGATAGTAGAAGAGCAGAAGAGTGGCGCTCAGACCGAATATCATCACTCGTCCATGCTTCACGGGATGCACAAGTCCGCGGGATTCCAGCATTCGCCAGTACGTTTCTGTGGCCACATTGGCGACGTACAGACATAGCAAGCCGCGCCTCGAGGGACGCTCCACGAGGATGGCGAAGAAACTGGCCAGCCACGATGGCACAAATGCCACTGTGAGGAAGTAAAGCTTGCCCAGCCAGCGCCGCAGGAGGCACACGAACATGGAGAAGGTGAAGGCATTTGTGGTGAGGAATGCCGTGGACTGAAGCATGCCCTGAATCGTCCGCTTGATGTCCTTGCGTGTGGGAATCTTCCCTCGCATAACCAGAGAGAGCTGCGAAGAGTGAAAGTTTGAGAAACCAGCTCTGCAAGTGCTCATAAAATTGACGCATTTTACCAAGTACACAGCGGAATATATCCGGAGGGACTCCTTGCACGACTGCAGCAGTAGCCCAGCAGTGGCATTCACACAGTGATCCGTCCAGGGATGCATGTACTCAATGCAGGTGCTGGGAATGCCCGCCAATTTGCTCATGTGTGTCATTGTGGCGACCGTGACGACGTTCCAATTGTCCTGGCCACTTGACTTTTCTGCCCTCTCCTCGCGATTAGATAGTGTCACTGAGTGGCCTGCAGACCCTCTCGCGAAGACTGATTTATGACTCTCTATGCCTATCAGACGCACAAATCCCTGCAAGAAGCGCCCACAGTGTGAGAACTTTGGCCTTTGACCCTCAACCAAACAACGCCTCACATGTATTACCTCACGGTCATCACTAGCCAAATCGACTTCTTAATCATTTCTCCCTGATTTTTACGTATTCAATCGAAGCTCTATTTATTTTGTACTCCACTTTCAAGCACTTTTCCTCCACTTGTCTTTCTCTCTCTCTTGTTTCTTCGCGTTCTCCACACTTTCGCACACACGAATGACAAAAAACAGCTGACGGGGGGCGCCGACAGCGCCACCCGTGACTGGTGGAGGAGCTGACGCGGCGCGCAATTTTCAGATTCCGAAGTCTTTAACCCTTCAACGATTTCCCTTCAAATAAATGATAAATGTTGATTTATTTGGGTTGTAGCCGTTGTAGGATGAATCATACGTAAACCGATAACTTTGTCGCTGTGAAAGAGAAAGCAAAACTTCCAAGAAAGCTTCGCGCTTCAGTGAAAATATTACATGAATAGCTTCGATTTTCATTGAATGATGAATTATAGAAGTTTACCTTGAATTTCTGATGGCACAACGTTGATTTCCCACAAGAAAAGAAAAAGAAAAAGAAAGAGCATCGAAATTTAATTGTGACTTCCTTACCAAGAAAATTCTTTATTATCGTTATAGTAGATAATATTCAGTAATTACATTACAGTTACACTTCTCATGCTTCATGTTCTTGTTCCATTTTACATCTACGAATGCCTAATATTGAGAGAAAGAGAAACAGTTTTGACAAAAATTGTATCTTTCTTGTTTATAAAATAAGAATTGGACTCTTCTATTGGCTATTCTTCTCCCCTTTTCTCCACTTATTCTACAATATTCAACTACACATTAAAGTATTTGCGTACACAACAAAGTCATTCTTGACCGAATGTTGGGATGATTTAAGCAAGAGAAAACAAAGAGTGGATTCTTTTCTTTTTTGGTTTAATTTGCAACACCTTCGGCAAACTTCTTCTCATCAGCCAAGTAAGTAAGATTATTGTGAGTACAATTGCGCCCCGGTTGGATGAACTTGAGGAGTGTGTTGGAGTGTGTTGGAGTGGAAGAAGCCCAAAAGATTCACTTTGAATGTTTACAACTTCTTATCATCTTCAAATTGTCTCTCTCTCTAAATCGCCATCAAGTCGAGAAGAAAAAAATGAAAGAAAACATCTCGAATTAAAAAGACATTTAATTTTTTTTTGTTGCATTTTCTAGTATTTTTCTCACCACTTTCATCATCAATATTTTTAACTTTACTTTCATCATCGAATCTCTACATTTAATTACTTTTAAAACTCTTAGTCAAACATCACAAAAAAGTTGTATTATATGTTCATTAATCAGCTTATCTTCATTTTACTCTTTATCTTCTCTTTTTTTCTTCTTCTTCTTCCTCTTCTTTATATCTCAAAAATATAAACATTTTCCCGCGATGGTTTTTTTTCTCTCTAAAATCTTCATTTCTATTACTAAAATTTTTATTTTTCTTCCAACTTGTTTTTTATCATGACTTTCTTCGCAATATATAATCCGGAAAATCTCTGGAGGGAAATCATAATTTTGTATTAAATCACTTTTTCTTGTTGTTTGTTCTCTGTTGTGTGGAAAAATTTAATGCCAACTTCACGATTGTTCTTGTTATATATATTTTTTAATCTGTGCAAGGGTTTTTCTTTTTCATCATAAAACTTTTTTTTATATCATCATTTAGAAAATGGCACGGTTTTGGTGAAAAGACAAAGAAAACAAGAAAAAAACATCGTGAAAATTAAGTTTTCGTCTATCGAACGAGTCAACACAAAAATATTCAATTTCTATTCAATAGCAACAGAAATATAATGTATAGATAATTAAAAAGAGGTTGTGAATAAAAAAAATTACTCAATGATCGTCAAATATTAAATATATTACACTTCAAAAATGTTTATTTCTCACTATTCATCATCATTCTTGTGTAATCCATTAATATAGACACTACGTTAAGTTAATTGTAGTTTTCATTTTCTCATAATAATCGTTAATGTTTCCTTCTCTCTCCTCTCTCTCTCTCTATTTCTTCCTCTCTTCCTCCGCCATCTCAAAACGCGTCTCTTTCCGTTTGCAATCGCTTCTTGGGTACACTTTTTCTTCAATATATCAACAGTATATTATGATTTTTGTCAATTTCCATCATATAAATATTATTAATTTTATATTTAATATTATCATAGTAATAATTAATCGTGTGCACAGAAAGTCGCTGTTATAACTCCATGTCTTGCGCCTCATCCTCACTAAATTCAGACATACTCGATTCACTGTCGGAACTCTCCACATGCTCCTGGTCACGGAGAGCTTCTTCTGTGGCGAATCTCTTCACGTAATCTTTTCAGGGAAAGAAAGAGAGTCAAAATCCACAACAAAATCAATCAGCGAGCAACAGAAAAAAAACAAAACTCACCTGATACTTTCTTTTTATACTCCTCCGGCTTGTGAAGATACATGGCGGCCGCATCTCCGTTGAGAGGATCCACAGGATTCGGATATGTGAGTAGCTGCGGCAGAAAGGATTCGAAAATGTTGCTCAGATCTGCAAAAGAGAAGGAAAAAGTGTCAATTTTCGACAATATTCAAGGGAAAGAAAGGACTTCTTGTGCAATTTTCCAGACCATAAAGAGCAGTCCACGCTTGATTGATGACATCTAAGCACACCGTTCCAGACACCTCGTCAATATTGGGATGATACACTTTGTTCATGAACCCGATGCTCGGTGACTTGAAAGGATAGTGCTCAGGCAGATGGACGCGCACCTTCCACACGCCTCCCTCATAAGGAGCTGTTGAGGAAAACAAGACAGAATAATTTACTCACACCATTGCATACACATTAGCCCGTATTCCTCTATGATAGTGATTTTTCTTTCTTCAATTTAATCAAATTCAGTTACAACAACTGCCGATGGAACTCACGAACTGCACGCAATTTCAAGTGGAATAATAGTGAAATAGCGATACAGATTGCATATATGTCTTGTTTCACATTTCTATGCAACTCAGTGAATTTTATTTAGCTTTCATATAATAAAAAAATCCTCAGTAAATATATTTCCCAGCATAATATCAAAAGGTTTCAATTACTGCATGACATATTTTCTCTCTCATAAAAAACAGAAAGAGAAAAAGCCACATTCCTCACATTCTAGCATCATGTTTCATTATTTTTTTTCTCTTTTCAGCATAATCTCAACAAAATGATTCTAATTCACAAATAAATTATTAAACTCACTTCCTCGTGGTCCGAAGAATTTCACGCAAAATTCATTGAGTCCGCCTAAAATCGTCACTTCGTGCTTACTCTCGATTCTGGAAAGGACAAATCACCGACAGTGAAAGCAATTCTACATTCACTAAATAATCTCCTTACAATTTAATCACATCTGTGTCCATGCGACGCTTTCCCGCACTCGGAGACGACATCCTTCCTTATGTCTTCTCTTCCTGCGTCGAAGGGCTCAAGGGGAAAAATTCTTTCCTTTTCTTTTGACTATTTGTTCTTTTCGCTTATGGTTTCTTTCTTCGAGTATGGCGAAAAAAAGGGAAAATGCGAAAATAAAGAGAAATTTCGAAGGGATTTATCTAGCGAAGCATAAAGTGCTCTCTCTGTCTCTTCTCGTCTGCTTGAATCCCTTCGTCTTCTTTGCCTCCGCACGACTTTCGACCTCCTTTGTCGTCGCCCTTCAGCACAAGATGAGAAATCGTCTTGTGCTCTTCCTTGCCCTCGCCAAACTCCTGAAGAATCCACTGTCACTGTAGAACAATCTGCAAAGAAACAAGCAGAAAGTGAGTGATTAATAATAAAATTATTGGTTTCACTCCTGTTTTTGCCATTTCCCCACCGTCCGCAATGGGATAAACAGCGAGAGGCAAAGAGTAAATCTTCAAAAGTGATCCATTTAAATTAGAAGAGGTGCGCCTCATTGTGAAGACAATTTTGCTTCCACCAGAGAGCTCTCATGTACGCCCCAGACAATGATGGGTTGTTCCTCTGTGTGGCATTCGGAGCACGATATGAGCTCCACAATAAATTCATCTCACGATTGAGTTAATTCTTAATTAGAGATTCTCCCTTTCTGTATTGTCTATTCAACATCTATTATTGTGTAAATTGTAAATCATGTCAGCTTCAGCCTTGGTGATCTCTCTCTCTCTCACTCCTCTGTATGTTTTTTTCCTCTCCAATCCCACCGAAGGTGCTCTTCTTGCCCCAATACCTCCCATACACTCTCACCACAGCAAAAATCTCTCGATAAAACATAATAAATTTCGTCTGAGAGCATAAAAATACCATCTCTTTCACCGACAGTCTCTCCACTTCCACTCTTTTGCCATTTCACACAACTTTTCCTCGTTGTCCAGGTTAAAATGATTTTTTTTCTTCAGTCTCACAAGTTTAAAAAATAAACATTATAGTGGCCAAAAACATCGACCAATTACTTGTGCTTTACATTCACATCTTGAGCAATCAACAAACTCCCACTGAAAATAATGTATTAGGAAAATACACAACAAGAAATAAATAAATTGGCTTTGTCTCTCTATTTTTTTACATCTCCTCACTTGACGCTCTTGTGTCTTATGTTTTGGATTCAATACACAAAAAGACAGAGAACAAATACAGCGAAGAAGCAGAAAACTAGCAACAATATGTGAGATAATTTTTTAAATATATCTAATTTTTTCCTATGCAGTAAATGTTAGTTTTGCCATCATTGTCAATATTCACACTCAATTTTTATTATAATTGTCCAATAAACGGTGCCAATTTTTATATAACACGTGAATGAAGACGAAATACAATGAATTAAATTCCTCCAAACATTGCTAATTATTGATAAACATATGCTGACCTAATGAATCTAATTTAAATCTTATATACTCGCCTTCTCAACCAATCGTGTATCTTCGCACACAATGTCTAAGAAAAGCCAAATGCGATTTATAGAGTCAACTATTGTAATTCACCATAAATCAATCTGCATGCATGAGCTTTGCGATATCTATCAGAATGTATATAGAGAGGCAGTGCAACTCCCCACTTTGGCCTCCCACTGCTCCACACCACTGACATTTGGTGATTTTACTGCCGTTGAAATATTTCTAGATGCCCTTCATTATTATTATTATTGCTCTGTGCCGTTTTAAATTGCTTTCGTCATTTCTGCCTTTAGCAAACACAAAATATTCCCACCTTTTCTACCATCTCTGCATGATTCTTTTTCTCTCATGCACATCAAGTCACATTTTCCTATGTTAAGAGTTAATATTTTGGACTGAAACTGTGAACTAAAGATCATCATCATGAAGAACATTATTCAATCAGTGAAACTGTCAACATGACGCTACTGAACAAATGTCTGGAACATTTTACGCTTCTCCCTATTTTATACGCAATCACTGCCTGATGTAATATGTTCAAGTACAGCGTGAATAATAAAAAAAAATCTACTATTCTAATATAAGCTGTTTCCAGGGGCATTTCACTCGAGTTCACGTGTTTTTTTCTTCCTTTCTTCAACATAAAGTTGATAAGATATTTTTTACAAATACAACAATTCATTTTAGTGGAGTGAAAATTATTGAATTCCAGATCATCCCAGACTTGTAGGAGTTCACAGGGAGATGGTGGATGAGCGGAGGTGGAGCCATTGCACCGATGTTGATGGAGAGAAAACACAGAGAAGAAAAACATCCAGTTCACTCTCTCACTGAAAAGAGCGCATGTTCATGTATCGATCAGCTGTTTTGGCTGTCATTGCTCAAATTGCCTCTCTCTATCCATCGCATTGCTGCTCTTCGCACTGTCCTCTTCCATCATCAATATATTACATTGTGTGTTTGATTTCATTGCACGCTCCTCTTCTCTCTCACTCGCACTTTGTTGACACGACATAATGATGATGACAACATCAACGAGTTGCCCCGTTACGTCTCCACTTTGGAGAGCGCCTCTTCGTCCCCTCCACTCCTCCCCTGTGACCTAAACCCTCGTCCATCGACTTCTCTCTCTCTCTCTCGCGCGCGCCCTGTTTTCCTCCCTCGCCTTTTTGGAGCACCCGAAAATGCGCCCCAGCTAGGAGACCACAAATTTACACCTAACATCTTTCCTTCAAACGAACAGCCCTTCTTCTCTCCCTCTCTAAAGTGCCCTCTTCTCCGTCTGTCGCGCTCGGAACAAAGAAACAACGCAAAACCCCTTTCTCTCCATATTACTTAACCAGCTCTCTTTGCACCCTTAATAAAGAACCTCTTCTTGATGCAATATCATTACTTTTTATTGCAATTTTTCTCACCTTTCACACCACGATTGAATATCACTCCTTATCACACAATAGTCATTTTATCAGAATACATCTTTGTCTCTCCTTCTTCATTATGATGCTTCGTTTCTCCTATTTTCGTTTTTGCACTATTTTATTATAGGGATTCTTCTCTATCAGATGTGCATCTAAATTTGCATTGAAATTCAGTTGCACACCTAATAAAACATGCCTATATATTCTCAATAATAATTTTCCCTAACATACACTGCTCTTCCTTCCTTTTTTCAAATTACAAACGAGTCACTTTATTTATAGCTCCACTGTTTTTTCTCCTTCTCACTCGCTTTTTTTCATCAATTTTCTTTCAAGCTTCGACGAATTCACGATTTTTATGGCATGGTGTAGATGTGATAAAAATACAAATGGCTCTCCCTTATTGATTGCAAAAAGAAGAAGGAAAAAAAACCAGTAGTTGTGGACAAAAGCACTCTTTCGACAACTCAAGTTGCCATTCAGAATTCAGAAAGCAGAATATTGCAATATTACAGTGTATAAACACCCAAAAAAATAAAATACCATGAATTTATATGTCTCTTAATTCTCTCAATTCTCTCTCTTTCTCTCGCTTTATCTGATTTATATCACTGCGTATTTTATTTTACAACAAACTTTTCTTTTCGCCTCTTCTTCACAAAGTTTGTATTGAATTCTTTGCGTCTTTTTATGCAATTCGCGCAATTAAATGAAATTTTGGCAATTCCTCTCTATCATCTCTTTGCACTCAAACACTAAAGACCCATGAATATTCCCTCTTTGTTCAGGCCACAGACTTTTGCTTCGTGAGCCAAGAGACAAATGCCAACTCTACTGGTATCTTCAGTCGTTTCCTATGGATTGGGTAAAGTGCGTAATGAGTCTCGCTTCGTGTGTGCGTAATATTTTCGACAGGCTGATTTGCGGGGTCAAGTGGGGAGAGACGACTCCGAAGGTTTCCACACACACACACCAGAAACTTAATCAATAAATTCAAAGCTGGGATTATCATAAAAAAGAAATCTGGGAAATAGGGAGACTTTCATTGTCTCCTGCAGAGAAGAGTCAGCCTTTTTATACATATCATATCATTTTATTCCTCATCTGACGGAACACAGAATCAGACAAAAAAAACCCAGCGAAGCGGGGGAGAGATAAAAGACCTCCACATAGAATGTTTTCCGCGAGACAAAATAAACAAGATGTGTGTCCTGATAACGTGATAACCATGGAGAGTCGTTGTGAGCAAGAGAGCAGAGAAGTGACACCTCTGCAGAAACGTCTTAATCAATTAATGCAAGCTGAATATGCGGATTAATTGAAACACTGAGAGAGATTGCCTGTAACTTATCTCTCATCCTCTTCTAACCAACCTAGGAAAATCACGCAACACTGCCACGAGTGCGAGCGAGACAGAGAGATTGAGAAACACAAGAGTGGCAACAGCGCACTTTCTATTCCAATATCAACATTATGTAGTTGGTGTTATTTTTTCTCTCTCTATTACAATTTATATATAAATGTACATATATATATATATAGCACATACAACTTCTTCTTCACTTCTTCTCAATTGGAGCCCCCACAAAATGTTCCACCACGACTCGCGATGATGACGCGAGAGCGGATTGTGCTTGACTGACGCGCAACTTTTCAAGTCAGCAGACCTTGGGGTCTGCGATGCTTTTCTAGGTTCCTCTCTCTCACATTTAGGCACCCATTGCCGTCTCTCTCCCACCCTGTATTTCCTCAACTGACCACCTAATCTGAAGTTTACCCAATTTTATCACAAACGCTGCTGCGATCCTACACTTTCATTTTTTCGCCATGCCATCTCGCTCTCTCACAAACCCCGAAAAAGGCATATTTAGCCATAAACCATAAAGAGTCATCCTCTCTCTCTCTCTCTCCTTCTACCCACAATAATCATTTGGCAACAATGATAAATATATACTCGTCTCTTTCCTATCAGCAAAAACAACATCATGGCTACCAACGATATTTATGTATATTTCTATGCAATTTTCAATTTCAATACACTTCCTCAATATCGTTATTTCCCAAATATCGCATTCAACCCAAGGAAGAAAGAAAAAAAAACCATTCCGAATTTTCACTGTTCATCGTTACGGAAAATGCAAATAAGCAATTAAGAAGTCCTCATTTAATTATATTTTAATGGCTTTTATAAGTTTTCCATGACAATTTCTTCACACACTGTGATTTTCAGCGATATAAAGTATAATGTGACCTTCACCACCCCATCGAGCCCACATGTTTTATGCATCATTCTCATATGGCACATTTGCTGAATTTCTCAGGCATCAGAAATAGTAAAAAAAAAAAATACCTTAATAATAAAGTCTATTAACATGATTTCCAATGAAATTTTGCAATGGAAATTAATGCCAAAAATATGCTCTAAAACATAGTAGTTAAGAGAGTATATTATTTATGACCTTTGAATTGATTTAAGTAATCTGATTTGAAATCTAAAGTATTCTAAAGTATCCATATAGATTTCTTGCATGATAACTCGATAAAAAGTAGCAACAATTTCCTCAAATGTTCATGTTAAAGTTTAAATCTCGGCCCTGATAATCGCTAATTGAGCTGATAATTTGTGATGGTCGAATTTAGAGAACAGATCCTAATCACAGTGTTTGCAGAGAAATCTCAGTGCACAAAAACCTGAGTCAGAGAAGGCTTATCTTGTATTTTCTCCACACAACCACGAACACACACTAGGTGAGAAATGCGAAAGAGACCAACATATACTTTCCCTGGCTGATTTAGGTGGCAGAAAGGCACCGAGAGAGATATGATAAAGAGGCCCGTGTCAGCAGACTGTCTCCGTCTCTCTTCCCAGTGACTGAGAGAGTGCTGGAGTGCGCAAAGAGGCCCCCAGGGATTCTCCACATTGAGCCCCCCATGCGCGCCTTGGCGCGATCGAGTCTCTCTCTTTCTCTCTCTCCAGCCAGAGGGAAATTAATGGGGCACAGCTGTTGGTGGCGATGCCATTTTCCATTCCCATCACTGCACTTCTCTGATCCCACTTCTGAAGTGTGTGTCTTGAGCGCAAAAAAAGTGGGCATCTTTAGCATAATCCACAAGATATTGAGCACACTCTGTTGTGATAAGACAACCAAGCCAAAACCCACAGTCAAACCGAGAAATATGCCTCGATATCGTCTCCTTTGCGTGCTCAGGCACAAGGGCATGATTTGACGATAGAATAAAACACGAGACAATGCAAAAGAGTGAGATAAAAGGTGCTATGAGGAATTCTCTGGCTGTTATGTTGTCTTTCCTCTCCACTTCTCTCTCGTGTGTGTGCCTTCTTAGAAGGGCAAATATTTGTATGAAAAATTAGATTTAGGCTCTGTGAATGCATTCTCTTGTGCGCTTTTCCCTCCACAAACACCAATAATTTACATGGGAAAAGAGAATCAGACATTTTCACTTCCGTTTCTTTTCTCCTCCACCTCTTCTGCTAATCAATAAGTTCACTCACCACGTCTGCTGTCCACTTGCCCCTGGCTAGACTTTGGGGCATCGCCCAGGAGCCACTTGAGCTTCACTTTTGGGCGGAAAACAGCGAGGAAAAGCTAAAACCATCAAGCACAACCTTTGATATCACCTGAGGGCAAATACCCCAAAAAGCCCCTTTGCCCAGCCTATGGGGCCCCCCGAGGGCAATGCATGATAAATATACGGGATTTATCGCAATGTGCGACGCAATTTCAATAAACAGCACGGAACATTCGCGAGTGGAGCAGAAAAAGTGTTATAAATGCGTTCATTTCTGGTGAGACAGAAGAAAAGTGAGACAAAGAAGAGGCAGGAAAAACACATTTACACCCTACATATAAAGGAGATAATACCGTAATTTGACTACTGAGATGTTAACTTACCCCTAGCATATCAAATTATCGCACCCAATCACTTGAAAATGGAAGGAAAAGCAATTATTCGCAGCAATTGTATTGATTTGTCCTCTTCTCTGAATTTTCACGACAAAAATTGATGACAGCTGACAATGACAGTGGAGTTGCCATGCGTGTGCAATTTTGGGGGTGTCCGAGTGTGTGATTCTGTTTTGATTCGCATGCAGTGGCGGATTGTTTATTTTGCATAATTTCCCTGCTTTGCAGTATTGTTGGCAGTTTTAGAATATTGCAATAGACGGATAAGAACTCAATAATCCCTATCTAAGTGATAGATTTAGCACATAAAGTGCATTTCGAGGGGAAAAGTGAATAGAAAATCAGTTGCAAACTAACCTCACTATGCAGATGTTCCGGAAGTTTGCCTCATGCAGGATTTTCTCAAGGAATTTAACTCCAGTCGTGAGGACAACACTCAGACTCAGTTCTTCAGCTGCCAATGACTTCCCCAAGCCAGCAGTGGATGTGGAGAAGCTGGAAGAGGACCTATTTGGCCGGGAGGTAGGACAGGCTTGGACAGAGAGGAAGAATAAGCGCTATCCAAATCGACCAAAGCGATCTAGATCGTCTAATTCAACTGATAACAACACGAAAAAAGTTGAGCTGAAAATCGACAAAGACACAGATTTAGCTTATGCTGATCTCCACCACAAAGATCCAATAATCAGGTTAGCAAAACAGACAACAAGTCAAAATGATTTTTATTAATTGAATGCGTATCTCTCAGGGATGCAATGATGCTCCTCAGATCAGGGAAGAAGCTGAAGAAGGGTGGTCTGCTTCTGCTAGAGGGACGTCGCCTTATTGAGGATGCGCTCAAATGTAACGTTCGCATGAGGAAGCTGTTTTTCAGTCGTCCGGAAGATCTTCAAGATCTGGCTGAGCAAATCAAAATGAGCCCCACAAAAACTGAACTCTACAGAATAACATATAAAGACTTGACCCTGTGGTCACAATTGACCACTTCTCCAGGACTCATGGCTATTTTTGACCGCCCAGTTGTTGCTCACTCAGAAACGGAGAATATTTTGCCTATATCGGTGATCTGTGACAACATCCGAGAGCCTAGCAATCTCGGGAGTGTGATCAGAATGTGCGCAGCTCTGCCGTGTCGAGAGGTGCTGGTTATGAAAGGCTGCACTGATCCTTTCGAGCCGAAGTGTCTCCGAGGCGGAGCTGGAGCGCAATTCCATGTTCCAGTGAAGTATCCAGTTGCATGGGAGGAGCTGGAAGAGATCCTGCCGAAGGAGAACTCAGTCTTTGTGGCAGAAAGCAACCCGAAGAAGGCGCAAATGCTCACAAATGAATTTCCCGTGGACGTTGCTGAATATTGTCTTCCTAGCCAAGGAGATGAGCACCATATGACTGTCATTATAGGTGGCGAGACGCATGGCATATCCGAAGAGGGATATGGGTAAGGGATATTAGGGGAAATTAGGGCGATTTTCACATATTTTGCCTTTACAGATTGATGAAACTGTACGCAAACAGTGCTTGTCTTCATATTCCCGTGTCAGGAGGTGTGGAGAGCCTCAACACAGCGTCTGCCTTGGCGGTGATTCTCTTTGAGCTCCGCAGGAAGATCAACCAGAGGAAAATAGTGGAAAATGTGGAAAATTCTGAAGATATACAATAAAACGTTACACATTCGTAGCATTTGAAAGTATTTCATAGAAATGACGTTTAGAATTCTGAACATCGCGAGGCGAGGACATAGCAAAAACATGGCGTCGCTGTCAGTGCGGTGAAGAAAATCTCCAGAGATTTTTTTGAGAAGAAAATGCGTTCTAAATAATATCTAAGCCACAATGAAATATCTCGCAAAAGTGTGAATAAATTGTGATTTAGTCATTTCCACAAGAATTAGGCGTGTAAAGTGAGAAGTTTTTATGATATTTGGCGGGTGAAGTTTTCCGGCGTTTGGCGACAGGAAAACGTTTTGCAGGGTGAAAAATTAGTCAGAGAAACTCTAACTCATATCATTGTTGGTGAGGATGTACAATGGCATTGGGCTCACGACGCCCCGGGGCTCCGGGACGAATGGGCACGTGCAGAGGAATTGGGCGTTTGTGCGTCCGGGCAAGAAGGACTCAGCGTCCGTGACGTACAAGACAGACGATGATCTGGCCAAGTTGGACGCTCAGGCCAGCAAGGGACCCAATCAGGACATCCTCGATCACGAGCGGAAGCGCAAAATTGAGGTGAAGTGTGCAGAACTGGAAGAGATCCTTGAGAAGCAGGGGTAAGAATTGTGTTTGGCGTGCTACTCTCGAGCAAATCCTTATGACTCTCTTCCTTTCCCTGTGTTCGCAGGTATCCGCTGAATGAGATCATGGACAAGGTCGATGCCTACCGGCTGAAGTTGCTGAATCAGGGCCGTGAGGATGTGCCACGCGACGAATTCGGGCGGATCCAGTGAGTATATTTATCGATAAAACGGATGTTGTATGTTGCGAAAAAGTGGGCTGCGCCACTCCCCCAAGAGTTCTGGGGACATGCCAATTGATGAGCCCAAAATTGCATTCCCCCTGCGTCTGGCAGTCCACGGGAAGTGGCTCGCAATTTATTGCTTTGCGGAGTATCGATTCCCCACGTCACTCTGCCGCTTGTGGGCAAAATGGCGAAGGATGCGCACAGCATCCCTGCTCATCTCAGCGCCTCCACCCATTTTGCCGGCCATGGGACGGATCCAGCCGCAAAGTGTCCCTCAAACATCCACTGTCCAGTGGTGTGTTATCAATAAGAAATGGCTTTCACTTTGCGCGCATGGAGTGAGATAAGGAAATTCGTAAAGAGACATAAATAAATATGGTTATTCTTAGCCACATCCTATGTGTTTAGTTGAAGGAATATCACTGACCTTTAACACTCTCTCAGTGAGTCATTTTCAATAAGTTGCTATTCTGTCTAGATGGTTGAAGTTTGTAGTGGGAAAATGCTGAAAAATCCTTTATTTACTTGCATTCAATCTTATTTTATTCACTTTTGTGCCTCAGGCCGAGCGCCTGAGATTTACGCTTCCTAAATACACCCCTGGGATGCTGATGCAGGATATTTTGTCATCTCTTTTCGCCCTTTTCCGAGTGGCGCAGGACAGTTCGCATCATGGCGTCCTCAAAAAGGTGTATTCGTGAAAATTCATCCGTGATAATAGACTTCCTCAAGTGTTATACACACTTTCCTTTCTGCAAAAGACAAAAGGCCTTCCCTCTAATTGCCACTAAACAATGAGGTGTATTTAAATGTTTCTAGTCTTGTGCATTCTGTGGTGTGGCAAAGAAAGGAAATTTATGATTTTTCGTGCAATTTTCACTGTTACAAAAGAGACACGAGGCAAAGAAATCGATAAAAGAGCGAAAAGAGCGCTTCTCTGTGGAAAATTCTGACGAAGGGAAAAGTGAAGAAATGTAATCCTTATTTAATGGGAGAAAAAGAAGCTTTGCTTTCAATATGTCTTCTTTATTTAAAATACAAATTGACTCCTCACCCTTGGCACAGGATGGGGTGTGCAAATGGTTGCGTAAGTGATTTTCGCATCACAGAGTCAGTCCGATGCTCGTCACCCCTTGAAAATGTGTGAAAACTGATTGAAAACGATGAGGTGAAAGTGTGAAATGGGGACAAAAAGCAGCATGAGGAGAGGCGTTATGTAAAATCACAAAAATAAACTTGCGAGAAAATCACAAAAGTCTTCCAAGGAGGTTTTTCTCCAATACATATATAATCAATTCATCTTTCGTCAAGGGATTCAGTTTTAGTTGAGATCCCAGGGATGAATCAAGTGTTATTCTGTGAGAGTTTCTAAATAAATGTAGTAAAAGAAGTCTTCCATGAAAATTTTTGCTATAAATAAATAAAGATAAGAAGTAAATGTATTTAAGAAGAAAGTGAGAATTCTTGAGTATAAATTCATAGTCTTCCAAAAATAATAATAATAATAAGTAAAAAAAAAGAGAAAATATGGAAAACGGAAAAGAAGTGTGGAGTGAAACGGTGGCAACGATAAAGAATGGCAGTGTCTTGGCATGTCACATTGAGACGACGGAACATTGTCAGAAGATTGGAAGGAAGTTCACGCCAAAAGCCTTCCGCAGACTCAGAGCGAAGAGGCCCAAGAATTTCTTCGAGCATGACAATCGCTTGCTCTCCCAGAATCATCATCCGAGGAAATTCTTCCCTCTGGACGACAGTGAAGACTCAGAATCGCCGGTTCCGGTGAAGTCTTTCGTGTCGCATGACTTTCCCAATGCAAAGATCACATTTCGGCCCAAAGGTGGTCAGAAGAAGTTGATGCAAATGAACAGCAAAATGCGGCGCGTGGTGCAATACAGGCAGAACAGGATGAAGAGGAAGGCGGGCGTCCAGAATGCACGCTGCTGCTGCCACTGCGCATGCTTCAAGAAGCCCGCCGTGGCGAAGAAGTGCAACGCCAAGGCGGCGGGAGCTCATGCAGTCAGGGGAAGGAATGCCAGAGGGATGAATCGCTCGAAGCGTGGCAAATTCAACGGGTGCAAGTCTGTTAGGTATTTGTGGTTCTTCTCAACTAATCCTTATTCGGTTTCTTCACACATCAAAAGTGTATTACTGAAGTCGCTTTCCATACCAGAATTATCGTCCTGAGGTTGGATTAGTGGTGAAAAGAGAGTTCAGAAGCGAAGTGGTGGAAATAAAACAAGTGTTTTTTTAATATTTACACTCAGTTAAGCAAGATTTGAGACTGTTTCGAATGTGTAAATTGCGTTGTTTTGCTTGGAAGTTAATTGTGACGTTTCCAATCTAACTTGTTATCATTAACAATTTTTTGTGCAGCTTAATTTGTCCTTGCAGGATTGCTTAGTTAGTGTTAAAACAAGAATTGAATATAAATCTACATTTGAAATATGAATTTGGGTTGAAAAGAATACAAGGATGACGCGCGATGATTGAAGAAAATGTGATTTCTGTCTATAAATATAAGATTTAGGTTATTTTCGAGATACAATTTATGAATATGAATTCTATGAAGTTTTTATGAGCTTTTGAGTGTGATTTATTTATTTTTCCTCATTGAATTTGTGTCTTCCAGAGTCCGCGAGACTCATCAAGTTGCCGCGGCGCAGCAGGAGAAGAATGCAAGGCTGAGGGAGGCTTTTGGCATTTCGGAGTACTTCATGGAGGGCACAAGTCTGGATCCTGAGCGCAAAGCCAAGGAGGATCTGGCCAAAAGCATGGCTCTCCAGGCTGAATTGATGGCGCAGAAGGAGGCGGACAGGCTGAGGAACAAAAAGTACACGCTGGTGAAGACGCCGTCGCCGGAAAAGGAGGAGCCGAAGGAGAAGAAGAAAAAGAAGAAAAAGACGCGCGATGTGTAAGTTTTTTGGATTTACAGGAAATTATAGCAAATACTTCATGAATTGGTGTAATTTTTTTTTCACTAAACACACACAGATCATCCAGTCCAGAGCGGAAGAAGGAGAAAAAGTCAAAGAAGTCAAAGAAGAAGAAGGAAAAGTAAGTAATTATTAATATAATTGTAACATTCAGAAAATATTCACTATAGTTTTTCTCTGTTTGGTTTCAAAGTTTGTAACTCAATCTTATTACTTTGGACAAATGTTCTTTTTTTATTCCTTTACCTCCTCTTGGCTTATTCACATGAACGAACACACAATGTTCATAAATATTAGTTTTAGCCATTTCTCATAAGGGTAAGTAACATTCTGTTGAATTTAATCCATTAGCGATGACAAATCCTTTAAGATAGTAAGATAACAAGTAACTGAAATGTAAATTGAGAAAAAAAATGGTTTTTCTTTTTTCGTTCCAATTTGCATGCTTCCAGAGTGAATAAAAATACCAATCTTTTCGATAAGGATATTTTGTCTTTTTGTTTCTTTAAATTTTTTGTGGTTTGATTAAAAGTGCAAGATCCAAAGCAAGATTTGATGGGGGTGAAGAGATAATCCATAAATAAGAAAAAAACACACTTTTCCCTTTAACTCAACTTTATTCACGAAAATCTCTATTTTTTCTAAAGACAGACCATTATTGATGAAAACGTAATGAAGGTAAAATAAAACAAAAGTAAATAAATTGTATGGAAAAAAAGAATGTAAAATGAGAGAAAGAGAGAAAGACATGATGGAAATCATGTTCCGATGTGCTGCCCTTATTTTATATATCATCCCTTTTGTGAACAGATCATTTTGTTATATATTTATCCTGTTTTGTGGAATTGTGCTGATGTTTTTTTGAGAGATCTTGTATGATCAGTTGGAAGTTTTCATTTTTCTTTCTTTATTTTTTGTTTGGAGGAGTTGAAATTGAGAAAATATTTAGGAAAAGAAAAAAAAATTACTTATTTTTCAAACCCTTTTTTCATTGACATTTTTATGAATTGTGTATGGTTGTATTTTATGTTGTGTTCTGTTTTCTCCATTTTTGCAAACAGATCGAAAAAGCGGAAGAGCTCAAAGAAGGCAAAAGCTGACTCGGGCAGTGACTCATCGGGCGATTCGTCGGATTCTGACGATTCGGATAGTGAGGATGATCGCAAGAGGAAGAGATCCTCGAAGAAAGACAAGGTGATTTTGTAGTTGATCGCAAGCAACAATGTTTTTTTGTGTGTGGTTTTTCTCTCTCTTTCAGGCCATTTATTTCTGAACCCCTCAACCGATGCTTTTCCGTCGGTGGAGGGGGGAAAAGAAAGAAGAAAGAACAGCAATATAATCATTTTCTTTCTCTTATGTTTGAAAAAAAAAACTTTAACGATCGCGATCTTCAAGAATGTGTAAATAATACTTTTACACGTAGAGTAATATAACATGATCTCTGCTGAGCTGTACAAAGGAAAATACATTTGCATCCTATGTTTACTTTCCTTTCATTCATCCTACTTTCTTTTCATTCTTTTTCTGTACTCATATTTGATGTGAGCGTGAAGTGTGAAGAAGATCCAATTTTGGGTGAATTTAGCAATGTGTGACTGAGAGAGAAGCGTTAGAATTAATTTATATATCGAGTGCAATTCTTGCCTCGCGGTTAGCATAATAAAAGAAATGTTAAGAGCTTTTTTGATCCACGAAATTGATTCAGAGATATTATTGTGATTTATATGCGATTTATGAGAAAAAAAATTAGTTCATTTAGAATTTTCAAAGAAAAAAGTCTGGACAACTTTTTCCTGAATATTCTTCTTTTTGCCATTATTTTTTTTGTCTCTCAAATGAACCACAACAGAAGAGGTGAAAAAATGTGAACAATTATTGTTTTGTTTGACTCTGATTGCTTCATTAAATAGGATAGCTCTCAAGGCAGATCCTTAATAAGTTGCTGTAAGTATTTTGACAATAAAATTCTCGTGCGCGTTAAATAAAACCAATTAAAAAAAACAGACCCATTATAAGAAATATAACAGTGAAGAAGATTTAAGTACAAAGATCACCTTCAAAACGTCTTTGTCCCCTTTTATCTGACAAATATGTATATTTGTTTGTTTTTCTTATCTGTTTCACTACCTGTGCAATATCTATATATTTTGTCTGTCTCTTTTACATGTGATTGTGATTAATTAACATCAAACATCTTTCCATAGTCTTAATATACAATATATAAATATATATGCAAATTTCTAGATGTAAACATTTGTTGGAAAAGTCAATGAGTAATTTCGATTACAAGCATTTTCACATTAGGTGGTTGATTTTATACTGGCAATTCATAGCTTCTTTTTGTTTTCTTTTCTTTTCTTCTCTAAAATGCTGCTGAAACATCATTTTACAGTAAAACAATTTTTGATGCTGATTTTTTTTATTCTTGTGATTGTTTTTCAGTATAATTTTTTTTTTGAATTACACGTTGAAAAAGTGTGGAAATGGTTTATCTAACTGTGCTATTTTTATCTCATTTCGCAGAAAAAGAAATCCAAGAAGAAGAAACGCTCAGAATCAGAAAAATCCAGAAGCAGGTGAGTCTGAATTCAAATCGTATCTACTAACTTATCATTTATCTGTATGTCTTATTGTGTCTTTCGTAGCTCTCCTGAGGTCAGCAAGAAACGCTCGTCGAAGCATCAGGACAAGCGACGACGCGAGGAAGTGGAGAAGAAGAGTGATCGTCGGGAGAAGCATGAGAGTCGTCGAAAGGATCGCGAAGATTCGCGTGAGAAGAAGAAGTCATCGCCACGTCGAGCAGCGTCACCGCGATCGCGGAAGAAGAGTCCATCGCCAAAGCGCTCCAAGTACAGTCAGAAGTCCTCGAGTCCGGCGAGAGATCATCGCCAGCGATCGGGATCTGATGAGCGACGGCGAAAGGGACGTCGTCGCAGTGTGACGCCGGCAAAGGAGAGCCGCAGGAGGGCTTCGAGATCGCGCTCGGCACAGAGATCACGGTCGCCAAGGCGTAACAGGTCGCGTGAGCGTAAGAATCGCACGCCCAGTCCGAGGGTGACAAAGAGGAAGCCACAGGAAGAGTCTCGTGAGAGTAAATCGCCATCGCGCAAGCGAAGTCGCGTATCAGGAGAGCGAAAGAAGAGATCGCCATCGGTTGAGACTGGGAAAATGAGGCGAAAGCCAGCTGAAGATCCCAGACCGACGACTTCCAGGAGTGGCAGGGATGAGGATGTCAAGAGAGTGAGTTCTAAGCGTAGATCACGGTCGGGATCGAGTAACTCATCAGCGCTGAGTTATTCGCCGGCACGACGTAATCCTGAACGATACAAGGAAATTCTACAACGAAAGGCAGATGAGAAGAAGGTGCAGAGCAAGACGCCGCCGAGGAAGAGACAGCCAAGTCGTGGCAGGACGCCATCGCCGCCCAAGAGGAGTGTTGACAAGTCGAGTGTTAAGTCACGATCGCGCTCGAGGGAGAGGAAGCGCGCACCTCTGAAGCCTGTCGTGCGCGTGCAGACGCTGGCCGAGAGGGAGGAGAGTGCTGACAGTACAGAGGAGGCGCGTGGAGCCAGAGACTATCCGGAAGCTGATCTGTTTATGAAGCGAATTGACTTGGAACCGAAGGATCTCGACTTGCTGATTGCGCTGAAAAGTGGCCTGGCGGCAAAGGCGAAGGAGACAATTGAGAAGAAGCGCACGAATGAGTCCACAACACCTCAGGCTCATTCCTCGCGTATCCCGATCAGTGTGCCACTGTCTCTGCCCCAGGTGGCAATGGCGGCGTCCAGTGGGGAGAAGTTGGTGGAGTTTCAGCAACGAACGTCATCGTCTTCCTCCTCTTCGGCGTCCTCATCATCAGGCTCTTCGTCATCCGACTCAGATGACGAGAGTCCGCGAAAGCCGGAGAAAGCGAAGATCATGATCACGCCGTTTAAGATCAACGAGCGCGCCTCGCCCAAGAGGAAGCCAGACGAGAAGGTGGACACTCCGCCAAGCAAGCCGGCGAAGCCAAGTCCGCATCCTGTGCAGAACTCACCGAAGCCCAAGATAGATTCAACGTCGGGAAATGCTCAGAATCAGGGGAGGAAGTCGAGAAGTCGATCAAGATCGTCTAAAAGGTTGGGAAAGAAGAGTGAGGATTTTATCCATAAGATTGTGGCTGAATTAATTGATTTTGCAGATCTCGCTACTCTTCATCGTCGAGTGGCTCAAGCACTGGCAGTTCAGCTTCCAGGAGTCACTCGTCGCGCTCCAGCCGCTCGGGCAGCAGGAGCAGCAGCTCTGGGAGTTCCTCAGCATCCTCCAGGCGGTCACGATCGCGCTCTACTGATCGCTCACGATCACCATCGATTCCACGTCGACGAGGATCACCAAGCTTCCTGGATCGGCGCCGGATCACGAGGTGAGTCAGTCACTATCACTCCGGATCACGCTAGTTTGCACGGTTATTTTATGTTTATTCCATTTTTATGTTTCTCTTTTTTTATTTTCTAGTAAAGAGAGATCCCATTATCGCCGATAATTTGATGTGGTTTTCTTTAGTGAGAGAATTATTATTATTATTTTGGATTTTTATTTCAACCGAACAATGACGATTTATAGAGACACACTGGCAATTGTTTTCAGTTGAGAGTGAGAGACTTTATTTCCATCCCACAATCACACGTTTGAGGATATGATTTATTGAGGAATTTCATTGAGTTGGAATGCTATTTGAGTTTCTGCATTAAATACAAATTTGTAAAGACTTTTGACACACACTTTTTTTCTTTGATTTCCTCCAGCTTTAGCGATGATTTGTTGTTTTTGCATCTCTCCTGCATGTAGTTTTGTCACTTGTGTGTTGTGTATTAACCAAATTAACACTGATTAACACCGTTCAAGCGCACGGAAGCGGCCGATTCCCTATCATCGACCGACGCCCTCGAGTCCGTCGAGTGGCAGCAGCTACAGCTCTGCATTCAGTCGCGTCGGCTCCAGAAGCAAGAGTCGCACGGCGTCGCCGCACTAGATGACTAACAGAAATGCCATCGTAATCTAACAGCAATCAGCAATTTAATGTGTTTAGGATTGAATGTATCCACTAGTGGACTGTCCTCTCACTCCCCCTCAAATCCAACATTCCCATCTTCACACACTCACGCACCCCTGAAGAATCTAGTCTAGAGTTGTTTTCTAACGCTTGTTTTTCGTGCAATTTCCTCTTAATCACACACGCTCAAAGTGTCTCATGATTTTTTTTTCCCTTTTTCAAAAACTAATTTATTTCCAATGCATGATATTTTGTAACAAACACCATAAAAATGCTCCAAAAGCTACTCGCCCAGCAGTAAAAGAATATATAAAAAGTATGGAATATATCGAAAAATCAAACAATTAAAAATGCCTCTCTTTCGAGTTTCCCCAAAAAAATTACTCCGTCTTCTTGGCCACTTGGCGTCGCTTGTTGGCTAGGAAGATGATCCAGAAGAAGCCAATGATGTTGGCCGTGAAGACGCGCAAGAAGGGTGGCAGGAATGTGATGTTGATGAAGGCAAAGAGCGAGAGGTACTTCCAGTTGGCCTGCAACACTGGCCAGTAGAGTCTGTAGAGGTTCGCGAAGGCCACCTGATGGCTGTTGCCCTCGAAGCGCGACAGGAAGTAGAGTGAGCACAGCTGGAAGAGGGGCGTGAATGTGAGGCGCTCCAGCAGAAATTGGTAGAATTTGCGGAATCTCAGCTCGTCAGACACAATGCGATCCAAGAACAGGTAGAAGTAGTGAGGCAGTGTTCCGCCGAAGAGTAATCTGTGGACAGCAAAATTGATCATTTATGGTGAAAACACAGCATTTGTCTGGCGAAAATTGATCGAGTTCATCTCTTTCTTCACCACGCGTGTCGTGTATTTTCCTCGCGTGGTGAAGAAAGAGATGAACTCGATCAATTTTCGCCAGACAAATGCTGTGTTTTCACCATAAGATCCTTTGGCGTTCTTCCCGTATTTGCCTTTGAAATACAGCTGGATAGACAATTAAGTAATATATTAATAAAACCCAAATCTAAAGAAAGTTTTATAAGCCATATAGATATTTTCTTTAGTGCTTAATTCAATAAAAAGGTCAGAATATTAAATTCTTTGTTTGCTACAATTAAACTTGTGTGCAATTGATGCAATTGAACCATTTCGTAGTTTTCAACAAGGATTCCTGAGACTTTTCTCTCGAAGGGAATTCACGCTGAAAAGCAACTATGAGAATAAGACGTTGACTTTGTAATCATCTCAATGTTTTTCGCTGAGTACAGCAATTACAAGTTATCAAAAACTGATATGGGATTTGCGTGAGCTCCGAGTTGAGCTCCTGATAAGATTCTCTACTCGCGTATTCTCTACACAGACTCCTGCGCGATCCTCGACCGCTCGCTATCTCTCACCCAAACAATCCATAGGCGCCGGCGCTGTGCGGATTGATCTCCTTGCTGCCGGAAATCTTCTGGGACACGACATTACCCGCGGTGGCGATGACACAGCTGGAAAGGTGAGGAGATGAATTAGTAATTTGGGTCGCCGCGAAACTCTGCGCTTACCTTGTGAGTGATTTAGTCCTGATTGGGTGATTGAACAATTGCTCAAAGTATGCGCCGATTAAATTGTAAATTGGCTTCGAAAGCGACATTTTTACCCTCCTTTTTTCACTGCAAATTCTCTGTCGCTAGCAAATTCAAGTACTCAAATAAATTATGTACGAATGGAGAGGTGAGAGTGAGATAAGGCGCTCTCTTCTGTTTTCCCCGGATTAATCTCACTGTACTCTGGATTGGGTCGAAGGTTAAGGGAGATTTTACAAATTTCACACGTTGGTGTGACTTTTCTGTAGTTTTAAAAGAATTAAAGGGTATTCTGAAGGGTATTTTCTTGGGATTTTCACTAATTGTTTACAAAACTCGCGATCAGCTGCACTCTTTCATCGCGATCCACTAATGAAAGTCACTTATTGGAATTCCGACGGAATTGTCCGATGTTGCCACAAATTTTGACGTTACCAATAATCGTTAATTTCGTACAATTTGCGCATTTTTGGCACATCTAATCGCCGAAATATAATACAATTTTTCATAATTTGGATTTTATTTCAAAATTATTAATCACCATTATCCTACAAGGAATAAAATGTCTTTTTTGGAAAACCGCCAAAAAACAGCGCCATTCTTCTCAGCGCCACCAGCGCGACTAGACGGCTGGAAACGCAAACATAACTGACAGCACGTCCGTGGTTTTTGTGCGACTGAAAAATTGTGTAAAGAAAATCCGCATTTTCCGCAGTTTTATCACTCCCTGGACTTTCTCAAGTGTTCCACAAGCATTTCCATCAACTCCTGAATCTCGATCATTACAAAAATACCACCGTTCAACTGAGGAGAAGCCGCAAAAATGTGAGTAAAGTGTGTTGATGCAATCCGTGGTTTGTGAGGAAAAAATCATTGAGTGTAAATCAATGACGCAAATGACATTTTCTCTATTGAGAATATTTTCTCAATCCAAATATCTTGCATATTTTATTGATTTCCCACCGTTTGATTACTGAATCCACATGGAGTCTTGCATCAGCTTGGAATATGTCTATTTGTAATTTTCCGACACGTCGTCATCGCCTTGGCCTACTTAGCCTCCGCCCGGAGCCCCAAATTGCCCCTCAACATCCGCTCTCCTCATTTTGCTCACTTCCCGGACTCCCAAATTGCCCCGTGAGTCTGGAACGCTGACGTGTCGCTGGAGCGGAAAAAAGATGAGGGAATCGTATGATCCACTCAAGGTCTTCCCAAGTTCTTGTTTTTTTCCCCGCGCTGACAAATGAGATAAAATTTGCCCAATAAACAACATCACGGCAGGTGCAAAAGAACCAGAAGAACAGCCTGAGATTCGAAGCGCTCTTCCTGGAGTGACTAGAAATTGGGGAAATTCCGGATATTCATTCGGCCGGATGTGAAGTGTTGAACTTGCTTTGTGCATAAATTTTAGAGAAATGCCTTTGCAAACTAGGAGTTTTGTGCGTATTCTGTGACCTTTTGAACCATTTGGAAAGTTTTTCAGAGAATATGGCTTCATTGGCAGAAATAATAATAGGATTACTCACGAAATAGAGAAAAAAAACTATTCATGAATATTCGGCGATCTTTTTCTGTCGCTTTTTGTATTTCCCGCTAGATTTATTTTTTTACTTGTAAACACAATTATCATTAACCCTTCCAAGATCATGCAGTTTCTTGCTGAGCGGCAGAAATTGCTGTGAAGAAATCGTATTCCTTGACTATGACGCTGTCTGATGGTTGCAGAAGCGACATGGCATCCACATCCACACGCCCAGAGCCCACGGCGCCGCCGTGCGAGGAGGAGGAGCCTTCGGCGTCCACGTCGCAGGCCAGAGACGCGTCGGAGGAGGAGAAGAACGCCGCTGGGGCGTTTGAGTGCAACATCTGCCTGGACACTGCCAAGGATGCCGTGGTGAGCATGTGCGGCCACCTGTTCTGCTGGCCTTGTCTGCACCAGTGGCTGGAGACGCGGCCCACGCGGCAGTTGTGTCCTGTGTGCAAGGCAGCCATCAGCCAGGAGAAGGTGATCCCACTGTATGGGCGCAGCAGCGAGCAGAAGGATCCGCGCACCAAGGTGCCGCCGCGACCTGCGGGGCAACGCACGGAGCCGGAGCAGGCGCCCGGCTTTCAGGGATTCGGCTTCGGTGACGGCGGCTTCCACATGTCCTTCGGCATTGGCGCCTTTCCCTTTGGCTTCTTCACGTCCTCCTTCAACTTTGGCGATCCTAGGCCCAGTGCAGGTGATTCTCTTCTCTTCCTCTCTTAGTTGCCTTCCTAGCTGACCTTTGTGTTTGTGTGTGTATCTTTTACAGCTCCACGGGGAACAATGCAGTTCGAGGAGGAGCAGTTTCTGTCGAAAGTATTCCTCTGGGTGGCGATCCTGTTCCTCGCGTGGCTCCTCTTGGCGTAGCACTGCTGAAGCACGATCAACACACTGATATCCTATCTATCTATCTATATTATGTCGCCTGCGACCCTTGTATTTCACCAGAAGAATCCTCAATTTGGCGTGAATTGGGCGGCAAATTTATCGTTGAAAAATCGCAAAACAACGCCGAAAAGTGTTGAGAAATAGAAAGAAGAAAAAAATAACTCCTCTAGTCACATAAAAGATGAGCACATTGTGTGTTTTTCTGTACGTCTTTTTTGTTCAAATCAAATCTGTTGTGTGCGTAAATATGGGAGAGTATCAAAAATTGTTTCAAACAGATTTCAAAGAAAATGAAAGCCACGATTTTTTATATGGTCAGCATTCCAAAAGAAATAATAATTGAGAAATATTTGTTTGCAAGATGTCTGCATAAATGGACTCATTTCGGCAACTGATGATAATGTTATCGTTCAATTGCGAGAGAGAGTGAGATTGATGGAAAAGTGGAGGAAATAAAGCGTTGTTCTTTCTTTTTTTCTATAGTGAATATGATGTGAAAAGGAGATAAAATGAAGGTGGAAAAAAATTATCAAGATTGTACATTTTTAATTATTATTATTTTATTTGAAACTTACTGTATATTGGAAATAAATTAACATTTATAAGGGTAAAGAAATCAGACAGTTTTTTTTTTAGATATTTTTCACATGACGCATAATCCTCACTCATTTACATTTTGCACCCATTTCTTCACTAAGACTTTGTGTGCATTTAGAAAAACCTTCTTACAATTTGCAATCTTCTTCACTATTGACACTCATTCGCGACTCAATGGAGTGTATTTTGATTGATTCCACAAGACAATAGAAAAATTCAAACAATACCACTTCTATGATAATTCAAAGAACACGTGATGAAACTACTCCAAATACTTCAATGTCTTCATGATTTCCAGCTCTCTCTCTTTTCATTGCAACAGTCCCTGATCTTCCATGCTCATCTCCAGCATCTGTCCCTCCTTTTCCCCCTTGAAATTCACATCCGTGGGCAGAATGATGATTTGTGTTATGTCCTGTGACAATGACGCCGGAACAATGAGTGATGGACAGGAAGTCTCCACGACAATGGGATTGACGTGAGTGTCGAGATGTCTTCCTAACTCCTCAGCATCCAAATACAATTTGCCACACTGCGGACACCCAATCTGCTTCCCACACTGATCACCGTGCTTCTGCAGATGCTTCTTCAACCCCGTCTTATTGATGTACGTCCGCCGACAGACGCTGCACTTGTACTCCTGCCGCTTCACTTGTGGCTGAACACCACCTCGTCGCCTGGACAGAGATCCCGGAATGTGTGTGCTGGCATGCCGGGTGAGCTGATACTTCTGCACAAACACCTTCCCACACAATTCACAGTCGAATGTCTTCACGGCGCTGTCACCATGCTTGACCAGGTGTCGTCTGAGTCCCGTGGGATCAGTGTAGGTGTTCCCACAGTATCGGCACACGTGCTTCCGGATGCCAAAGTGTCGATCAAGGTGATTCTTCATAATTGACGACGAGTGGAATGATTTGGGACACACTGTGCACTTGTACGGACGCACATTGCTGTGGAAGCGCAGATGCAGCTTCAGATCCGCCATCCGGATGAACGCCTTGGCGCACACTTCACACTGAAACAGTCGCTCACGCGTCGCCCGCACGCGTGCCACTTCCTCCAACTGCACCTTCGGCGCCGGCATCTTGGCGCGCTCGTGCATCCGCAAGTGCTTGTAGAATGTGCTCGAGTGTCCAAAGGCCTTCCCACAAGTCTCACAGTGGAAGTTCTTCTCCTTCGTGTGCGTTATCATGTGCGATCTCAGACTGGCCATTCGGTTCACTTTGAAGCCACACATCTTGCAACTGAACGGCTTATCATCGCTGTGGCGTGCAATTGAGTGCGCCATGAGCAAGCCCACGCGAGGGAATCCCTTCAGGCAGATCTCACACTTGAATTTATCGCCCATGTGTGTCCTCTCGATGTGATGCTGCAGCGATTGCAGTCTGCACAGACGCTTGTGGCAGATCTCACACTCGAACCTGTACTTGTCCTCCGCATGCATCGTCTTGTGCCTCTGGCGATCGTGCAGGGACATCACCATCTCACCACACACGTTACACTTCTCCTGCGCGTGCACTTTCTCCCGATGGAAGCGCAGTTCGCATGACTTGTCGAACTGCATGTCGCAGGATTTACAAGGAAACGGTTTCTCCTTCTCCGTGTGATACACAAGATGTCGATCCAGGAATTTCTGTGCTGAATACGACAATCGACAGAAGGTGCATTTGAAAGGACCACCACGCTTCTGCGGCGTCGTTCTTTTCAACTGCTTAGGCTTCGGACCGCGCTTCTTCTGCGGCTTTGGTACTTCTTCAGCTTCTTCTTCCTCACTCCCTTCCACAATGTCCTGCTCTAAGGACTCTTCAGCATCATTAGTTTCTGCATTGTCTTCCATTTCAACAGATTTCAGCTTCGCATCCTCTTCATGAGTCTCATTTTCACCATCAATTTGGCTGAAATAAAGCGAAGAAAGTACAAATAAGAATTTGTTCCAATATTTATGAATTAACAGTAATAATTTTCGTTATTTTAACCATCATTTCAGATATTCCATGCTCAGTTTCTCGCTTCCACATCACGGAACCCTAATATTTTCCCTAATTATCCGCCTTATAGGATAAGATTGTCGTGCATCATCAATAATTCTGAGTGTCAAGCATTTATTCCACCTCCAATGTGCCCAATAAAACTCACCTAATGACTGTATTCTCATCATTATCCTGCGAAGAATCCTCCAGTGAAGCATGCCTCCTCAAATTGTGCTTCTGTAGCTTCTTCTCGGTGGAAAATTGCTTGCTGCAAACACTGCAATTGAACCACTTTGTCCTCCTCTCGCCGGTGTGCTTCCGGAAGTGTCGCCGAAGACGACTTGGCCGCGGATAAGCCTTCTCACATATTGCACATAAATACTCCTTCTCTCCCGTTTGAGTTGTCCTGACTAAACTCGTTAGAAACTTCTGCTTCTGACCATCGTCTGACCTAGAAAAAACGAAAGGATTTACCGCACATTAATCTTGCAAATCTCCCTTTTTCACTTTATATTCATAATCTTACTTGTCCTGAATGTTGATAAATTCGATTTCTTCATCACTGCTTCCCGCCTGGACACTCTCCTGGCCCTCCTGGCCATTGTTGTGAACAGTCTGGATGTGTTTCTTGAGACGCCTCTCAAGTTTGTACTTTTTTCCACAATGCTCGCAACTCTTTTCCGTTTTATCGCTCTTATCCTTCTTCATTCTGCCACTCCTGCCTTGACTCTGTGCCTTCAGAACTGCTCTAGCATAGCATTGTCTTCAAATTACTATTTTACACCCTCATCAATTATTCAGGACATCTCCTTCAGGTGTAATTGAAGGTGTCTTTAGAGCTGAGAAAGGATGTATTGTCTGTAGGAAAAAATGTAAATAAACTAAAGCGCTCTCAATTTTAAGTGCTATTTCTTCGAAAAACTTACCTCCTGCAGTCTCGTTATCATTCCCTCACCATCTGGATTCATTTTTACCACACATTTTCACCGGAGAATACCCATTTCCACTCCAATTTACAATTTTATTTATTGTTGAAAGAATTTCGCGAGAGAATCCACGAAGAAAAATGTCAAATCTCCCCGCCGTCGTGCGCGCCATCTGTCAATCGGCAATGCAGTTTTTTACTCTGTTCGATTCGTGCGCTTCCTCTTCGGTCTGGCCGGCCAGGCGTCATCAGGAGTATTCCTGTGCTCGTTCAAGTGCTTCACCAGCTTCTGCTTCTTCATAAATCTCTGATCGCACAGAGCACACCAGAAATACTTGGCGTGATTGACGTGCGTCAGCAGATGCTCCTCACGATCCTTCTTCAGCTTGAATTCCATATTGCAATCCTCACATCTGTGCTTCTTCACGTCGCCCAAATGGTGCTTCTCGTGGGCACGCCGTCGCGCGGACGACGGAAATGTCCTTCCGCATATCCGACAACCATACGGTCGATCATTTGTGTGGACACGCATGTGAACTCTGGCGCCTTCGGGACGCGGAAAGCCTTGTCCACACTCGTCACACTTGAACGGCAACTCATCCGTGTGCGTGGATTTGTGCTGCTTCAGAGAAGGTGCCGAGGAGAAGACCTTATCGCAGAATTCACATTGGTACTTCTTGCAGTATCGCCTCATGTGTCTGTGCACATTGCTGTTGGTGGCGAAGTATTTGCCGCACTTGTCACACCTGAACTTGGTCACCTTGTTCTCCTCGTGATCCTTCATGTGATCCATCAAATCCCTGTCGAGCCGGAAGAGCTTCATGCAGTCCAGACAGCGATAGGGGAACTCATTGAGATGTGTTCTCATGTGAATTGATTGATAGTAGATTTTGTTCGTGCTGAAGCTGCAGAAGTCACAGCGGAATGGCTTCGGATCTTCGTGATACTCAGTCGCGTGAATGATGAAGAAGCGCGAATTGGAGAATGTCATTGGACAGTTGGCGCACTTGAAGTGACCCGTGCCGTGCGTCTCCTCCACGTGCTGACTCAGCAATTGCTTCAGCGTGAATCGCTCTTCGCACATATCACACGAATACTTGTACCGAATGCGCTTCGAGTGCAATCTCTGGTGCTTCAGGAAAGCCCTCAGATTGCCCGTCTCCTCGTCACACACTTCACACCTGGCCCTCAAGTGGCTGCTCTCAATGTGATAGTGGAGAGTGCCTTGCGTGAGGAATTCCTCATCGCACTGCTCACACGGGAACGGCTTGTCCTTCTTCGTATGATAATCAATGTGATCCAGATAATTCTCGCGCACCACGAAGGTCTTCGGGCAGTACGTGCACTTGTACACTCGTGTCTTCTGATTCGGATCAAAGTCCTCATCTTCCTCATCAGGCAAGGGACTCAGAGATTCGATTTCTATGTCCTCCATGAAATCACTGCAAGTGAAAAGAAGATAATACAATCCTGTAGACTTTAAAGAGCATTCAACTCACATTTCATCTCTGCCAAGTGGAGACAGATCCACAATCTCCGAATCGGTGAAATCAAAGTCAGGAAGAATTGGAATCCTATCATCTGTGAAGGGATCCACTGGTTTAGAAGCCCTTGGCTTTGTGGCACTAATCTTGGGCGTTGATTTCGGCTCCTCCTCCCCAAAATCATCATAATTGTCTGCAAAGTGATCGCCAAAGTGATCAAAATCACCCTCAACACTGTCCTCATCATCCCTTCGCTCCCGCTTCACAGCATCCAAAGTGTTCACTTCCACTTTAGGACACACCGAAGGAATATCCTCTTCGTACTCATCGTAGAAGTTCTCCATCTTCACCTGCACCAACTCTGGCTTTATCTCCACCTCCTCATCGTTGAACATACTATCATCCATGGAGTTCTGGGCAGCCTGAGCAGCCGCAGCCTGAGCAGCTGCCGCCTCAGCTGACGCCACTTCATCTCTCACCGCGACGGCATCGAAGAGATTCAACTTCTCCTTGTGACGCCTCAGCAGATGCTTCTCCAGCTTCGGATCCGTGGAAAACTGCTTGTGGCAAATGTTGCAGTTGTACCAGCGCACTCGTACGTCTCCCGTGTGCTTCCGGTAGTGTCGCCTGAGTCTACTGGGCCTGGCGTAGGTTTTGGGGCATTTGCTGCACTGATACACTGTTATCAATCCGTCCTGCTTCACGATGTGCGGAACATGGGAAATCTTCGGAGCCGGAGGAACAGGCTCTGTATTTTTGGGTTTCTTCTTCGGCATCACTGGTTTCTTCACTTCTTCCTCCTCTTCATCTTCGTCTGAATCGTCATCCGAATCCTCTTCTTTCACCTCAATTCTGTTAACAACACACAACGCATAAGTTTATACAATATTAAGGCATATTCTGGACATGAAGACTCACTTATCGATGTTGATGAACTCAATGACATCACCACCATTCTTGTCTTTCGACGGACTAGCCGGCGATTCCTCATCTTCGCTGTCCTTTTTCATCTTCTTAAGGGCCGTCAGAGGAATTTCCTCCTCCATATCCTCATCTTCCTCGTCATTTGCTCTTCCCATGTTTCCCCCATACCGAATTATAGGCTTCTCATCGTCACTGGAGTCATTATCCGGCATGCTATCCAGTGCCTTCGGAGACTCTCTGCCTCGGACTTTTCGTGTTCTCCCTGCAAACACAACCCATTAAACAGCATGATCCACACCAATACCCAAAGCTTCTTACTTGATTTGGGTGCCGGAGCTTCATCCTCTTCGCTAGCATCTGCAAAAGAACACCAAAACTGCATGAGACTTTCGATGACAAGAGAGGCTCAAGACGACAGGTTAGAGACACACTCACCTGGATTATTTCTCTTCCTGGCAGATTTTGCAAGCATTCGTCGTGCTTGTTCTTGTCGCATTAGCTTCAGCTTAGTGGGTTTCATCTTCAGCAACTACGAAAGACTACTTTTCGTGGGTATTTCCTCTGAATTTTCACTAAAATCGAAACATTTTGTCACCGACTCCACGATCAAAACAACATTTTTTCACCTCTGACGTGCCATAAAATGAGTTGCCATATGGCAATCGACACGTAATCTCATAAATTTCACGGTGAAAATTTCAATTGAAATTGAATTTATAGAGAAATTTGCTAGAAGAAAATATGTAGTTTCTGTAGTATATATTTGAATACACTTTGGAAGAAATTATCGAGGAAATTTATGTATATTTCAAGAGCTCTTGAAACTTTCGAAGCCTCTTGACACGTCAAAATATTATAGCACAAACCTGCGAGAATTGTTGGGCACTTTCTATGTGCTTTCATCGTGGAATTTAGTGGAGAAAATCGTGCTTAATATGATTAGAGACTACCTGATAGTTGCATGTATCCTGAGTTGTATCGCAGCCCCCGCCAATGCGTACTTTGTCACAGTTGACGCGCACTCGGAGGAGTGCTTCTTCGATCGCGTGGAGGCCGGAACGAAGATGGGTGAGTATTGCTGAGAGACTCCTTTCTCATATTGCACACGGGCCACGTCACAAGTGCCTTGTCTTCCCGGCCGGCAGGGCTGATCTTCGAGACGGTGGAGGGTGGATTTCTGGACATTGACGTGCGCATCACGGATCCGGAGGGGAAAATCATCTACCATGGCGTTCGGGAGTCTTCCGGGAAGTACACCTTCGCCGCTCACGTTAGCGGCAATTACAATTACTGCTTCAGCAACCAAATGTCCACGATGACCCCCAAAGTGGTGATGTTCTCGATGGACATCGGCGAGACACCCAAGACGAACGGCAGCCAGGGCGGGGCGCCCGAGGGAGACGCCGACACAAGCCATACAAAGCTCGACGATATGATCAAGGAATTGTCGGGCACACTCACCAGTATCAAGCACGAGCAGGAGTACATGCATGTGAGCACCAAGAGGATCTTCAGCATTCCACATGCAGAAAATAATTGGTGTTTTCCTCCTTTGCAGATGCGCGACAGAATTCACAGGAACATCAACGACAGCACGAACTTCCGCGTCGTCATGTGGTCAACATTTGAGGCGCTGGTCCTCATTGTGATGACCCTCGGGCAAATCTACTACTTAAAGCGATTCTTCGAGGTGAGGCGCGTTGTGTAAGCCAGACGATCATCTTCTTTGGGTATTTAATTTAAAACAGAGGAAATGTGTGAAGAAATGTTTCTACACTCTCAACTCCTTGTTTGTCACACTCAATCCATTCTCATCAGCATAGAGGACCACTTTTCCCGCCAGCACAGCTTGGTTCTTGTCTACGAGGAGGCGATAGAGTCCCTGGAGGGACTCCTCACTGGGCAGCCCTTCAATCTGATGACGACTCTCGTCGATCATCTTGAAGATCTTCGCGGCTCTGTCGACATCTTTGGCCTCACACACGATTGTGAGGATGTAACTGAGATGCTGGGCTTTCCACTTGAACACATGTCTCTTGGTCTCCATATTCTCCTCCACAACATCCCAGATCTCCACTGCAATCTTGGCCAGCTCTTCATCGCCACTGTTGACGATAATGCGGCAGAGTTGGTTGATCAGATTGTCCCTGGTTGTGTGCTCGAAGAGTTTGATGTGCGCCCAGAGGAGCGGCACCTGATCAGTGGCACTGTTCAGCTCCACCGTCTTCAGGATGGACTCCAACACGGAGGGCTCTGGCACGTACACAGACGGCACGTAAGTGTGATAGACGTCCATGAATGTGTCCAGAGGCTCAACGAGGCAAATCAACTGGAAGAAGTTGCGATAGTAGACGGATTCCTTCACGGAATCGCCAATGAAGACACCATTTCCAGAGCTCTTCAGCAGATCATTGATCCGATAGGCCAGCTGAATGCTTTGGAATTGATTTGTGGCGATATTCATGGCTGTAACGAAGAAGTGTGAGTCCTTGGCATCGCATATTTCCAAGTCCTGCTTCTCAATCTCATCCAGAATGTCCACGAGAACGCCACTCATGGGGCTTCGCTCGCGATAGAAGATGTTGAGGATGTGATACCACGACGCCAGTGATGGACGGATGCCTAGGTTCTTGAATTCAGCAAGAACAGCCATTGAGAATTGTCTGGCATCTTTCCAGCCAAATATCGAGCCAGCCAACTCCAACACTGTGTTCATTGTTACGATGTTGGGCTTGATGTTGTGACTCGCCATCATTTGAAGCGTTTCCTCCACGACTTTCCACTTGGCTTCAGCTGTGTCGGGATTCAGGAGGAGAACAATTTGGAGGATATTGTTGAATGTCTCCAGATACACCGGGATGCCATCGGTCAGTGCTTTCTGGTAGAGACTCCACGCGTCAGACACTTGATAGGTCCGGCAGAATGTCCTTATCATGGTATTGCACGCTCTGGGATCATCTGGCGGGAATTCCTTGTACAGCTTGTCCACTTCCTCATTCCGTGTTGCATTTAGCACCTTCTGTCTCACTGATGGAGACACAAATCTGTCTGTGGCATTCGTCTGGCAACTGAGAAAGCACACCAGCTCAAAATATGCCTGCTTGAAGTCAGCATCGCGGCTGTCTTTAATCTGGCTCAATCCCTGCGTGATCTCTTCAAGATCTATCTGGGACTCCATCAGGCGGCACAAATCCTCCACCGTCTGGACATTCTCAAAGGCTTCCGGTCCTCTGCCAGCGACATACGCCTCAATCATAGGTTCTCCCTTGGAGTACTGCAGAAACAGGGAAGAGCTCAGAACTTGCCGGACATCGCATGCATTTTGCCACTCACCTTGAAGAGATCAGCGTACTTCTTGTGCAGCCACTTGGCGGCACTTCTGCCGGACTCCTCGGAGAGCGCATAGACCTTCCGGCGCTGATTCGAGTACGGAATCATGTATCTGTCGTCGTGATACTGATAGTGAACAGAGGTTATGTCGGTGGTCTGGAGAGCCGCGAGGGCTTTCAGCACATCATCTGGCTTCCTCTTGATTCTCTGAGGAATGTCGATGACTACCTTCGGTGCCGGCGAAGACACTGACTGAAGTCTCGCGAAATTCGTGACGAATTTCCTCGTATTCACGTGAATCACGTTCATTTTTCTGCAGACCTCAAGAAACTCTGTGAAGACAATAATGGAAATTTCAGGTATGAATGTTTCATGAAATTTTACTCACTTAACCCTTAGACGACATTCAACAGAAAAAAATTTCGCTAAGACTTCAAAGATTTTAATGAATGATTAAACTGTCTTTTTAGCATCTCTTTAAACTCCACATCTTCGACAGTCTTACTTGAAATCATTGTTCTGCCATCACTTTAATGTTTCTTTGTGCATGAATCATGTTGCCAGAAACTTTCAGTTCCCGCGATGGTTTCCGTGAAATTTTACGGCATTATTACTCACATCACGGCCATGACAGGTATGGCAGAAAAAATGGATCTGTCGTGAGTGAGGAGAAAAGTGTAATAAAACCCTTCTGAACTGTGATAGAATTGTAAATATTAGTGGAAAATGAGCACAAGATTGAGGTACAGTATTTCGCGATGCAGAATTTCCCATCCTGCCGCAGATTCCTTGACATTTCTCCCACTTTTGCATTTCGCCCACAGACAAGACGTCAAATCTGTGTTTGAATTCTGGTGTGAAATTGTGCCGCAGTGGAACAACAATGTGGAGAAGACCAGCAACTGTGCACGCATCATTGAGTGCTATCCTGAGGCAGCGGTGGACGAGAAGGTCCTCAATGATATCACGCAATTCGTGTTTCCATATCAAATCAAGAGGTGAGAATGACGATGATTCATTATGTTGATCCGCGCATTGTTGCTCACAGTTCTCTGTCTCATCCGCAGCACCAGCAACCAAGTCCAGACCTACTCCTTTGTACTCACGAACGCTGACTCCAAGTGGAGCTTCGGATTCTGCCGCCACGAGCCCAACTCCGAAGTGGCCACCGTGATATTCTCCTACCTTCCCTGGCACGATGTGTTCCTCAAGCTGATCAATGTGTGCGCGGATCTCAAGAAGGAGAGCGGCGCTGAGCTCCGGAAGTTCCTGCGCAGCATCCACACCAATGGCATTCCCGAGCCCGGAGCTGCAGTGAACATCCCCTATGGCCGAGGATCAACCGTGAGTTCCCGGCGCGCGCAGAGACAGCCCACAAACTAACCACAGTCATCTAATTTTAGGTCTTCCAACTCCGGGCGCCCACGCTCTTCTCACTCCCGAGCATTCCTGAAAATGTGAGCACGACAAATCATCACCTGTCACACTCAATTTATCACAATCCAACCACTTCTGTGTCTCTCTCTCTCTCTCTCTGCAGCACAACATGAATATGTACTACAACTTCGTACATCCGGAGAGCATGATTGAGATTTTCGCGGCGATGCTGACAGAGCGGCGGATCATCTTCATGTCGCGCCAGCTCGACGCCTTGACGTCCTGCGTTCAGGCCGCCAAAGACTTCATCTATCCCATGATTTGGCAGCATCTCTTCATACCTATTCTGCCACTCAAGATGAAAGACTTCCTGATGGCGCCCATGCCCTACTTAATTGGCATCCCCGAGGCTATTTGGAAATATGTGAGTTACTGAATTTATACACGACTTTTCTTCACCCACTGAAGCACAGCGCGAAGCTAGAAAACCAGCAAAAAAACTAAGTAATTAATAAGGCGACAATCGGTCATGTTGCAGATTGTGTACAAGATTACCAAGATAGCGTCAAAGAAAGATAAAAAGAAATGCCAATGCATAGAAGAATGAACAAATTGTCTCGATTTCAGCAATTGTCCTAACAAATTGATCTTTTATCGTAATTTTTATTCAACTCCGTTTGACTATTATTGAAGGTTAAAGAAAAGGATTAGTAATTATGTCAGCTTATTTGCTTTTGATGCTACATAACTAGCAATGTATGTGAGGACACTCAGTTTCAGGATGTGGATCAGCTTGCACCGATTCTGAAAGGTCACAATATTATTAATTTTATTGTCTACTTCCTAATTTCCAAAGTATGTTGTGAACTTACGGGCAGCGGCAATGATCAGGAGAAGAACAAGTCCGTAAAGAAACTTCATTGTTAGACTTTGCAAGGCAGTTTAAGGATAACTGAGTTTTCAAGTAAACTTTCTTCGTTTATATACTACACGAGCTGATAATGGAATTGTTGTGCTGGGAGTTAATCTTAATTGTATTTAATGGTCAGTTAATTTGTATAATTACTCCCCTGCATATTTGGTTATATTCATTATAATATAATAATTTGTTAAAAATACGAATAGAACAATTGCTGAATTCATCGACGAAGTGATAATTATGCTTTCGCACTTTCCCTTTTCACAGATAAGACAAGATGAACTTGGCGAAGTGGTTATCTACAATTGCGATACGAAAGTCTTCGAAGCAACGTACAATGACACAAAGAGTCTTCCACACGAACTGGTGTCTGGCCTGAAGAAGAAGTTGGAGAAGAAAAATCTCCGCGGTGATGACCTGAGCAAAGCCTTCCTCGGTGTCATTGTGCAGCTGATCGGGAGTTACAGGGATGCGGTGAAGTTCAGCCAGTCGGCGCAGGGGAGGAAAATCATCTGGGATGCCGAGGCGTTTGTGGAGTCGCGCCCAATGGCGCTGCGGCCATTTCTGCGGAAGATGCTGCAGCTGCAGATCTTCCAGCAGTTCATCGAGGACAAACTCGAGGCACTGAACACGGGCCTCGGGTATTCGGATGAATTTGAGCTGGAGACGCTGCGCTATGCGGAAAAGTCGACAAAGGCGCAACAGTACAAAGATTTCTTGAAGAATATGAAGGACAAAGTGAAGGGAGGCGGAAAGGGTGTGAAGAATGCTTATCAGAACATCAAGACCAAGTACCAGATGACCTACCCGTCGAATTTCTATCACCACAAGACGCACAACTCAACGGAATCCGTGGATTTCTCGCCATATGAGACACTGTCTCTGTCGCCAGGATCACGGAGTCACTCGAATGCCTTCTCGCCAAGCCTTACGCGATCGGACAGCGACTATTGCAATCGGAATAAGACAACAAACTCCTCATCATCAGCCTCATCGTCAGACATGAATCTCCTGCAGGAGTTGCAGGATCACGCATTCTTTAAGGCCACCGGCTCGAGGCGGGAATCATCAAGCACTGATTTGCTCCATCTCAACGACGATGATCAGACAACGGTGGTGAGCAGAAATCACAGGAGCGCCAACAATGACTTAGACTTCCTGCTCTCGACAGATGACAGATCTGTGGCCGAGACATCATCATCCGTGTCGGGATTTGCGAATCCACTTTACCCATATTTTATACCAAAATCATCCGATTCACCCCAACAAGCGTCACCGTCGCACACGACGGAGGAATTGGAACTGCTGAGGCAGTATGGCCTCGATAAATTCTCCTAGATTAGGTATATGCAATGCTTAGGGAAGAAAAATGATTAAAGACTCGCTTCTCTTTGTCCCTTTTTTTTTGAAACACTTATCGGAAAAATATATTTCTCTAAAATTTCCTCATTACAATTTTTTATCCATCTTTATATAGTTGTAACACTTCCACAAAAAAACATGCAGTCATAAATAGTCTGATCGACAAAATGCTAAAAAAAATTGGTCATTTTCTGCTAACAACAAACAGTTTTTTGAATATTGTCCAAAGAGTTATCATAATGTTTTACGGTGCTACTTTCAATGAATATCTCTCTCTCTCTCAAGATTACCAAAAAAAAACATAAAAGGAATTACAACAAATCTTATACAGAATCGATTTAAGTACATTCGCTTAGACAGCACCAAATTTATGCATGTAATTTATCAATATATTCCGAATAGTGTATTCAGAAATTCATTGTTGCCATTTACAAATTGCAATATATACAAAAAAAATAATAATAGTGAAGAATTCGTATGCGATTTGACTCCCAGAGTTTACTATTTGCGAATGCGCATCAACTCTTTATCGTGGCAATAGATTTTTTTTCTTTCTTTCTTTCAGAATTGTATTTTTAAAAAAAGTGTATTTATTTGTAAAGAGTATCGTCGATAAAAAGAAATTGCGTGTATATTTATTTAATATATAATCCCCAAAAAAAAAGAAAAGACAAGTATCCAATCCTAGTGAAAAAATACTTTAAGGCATTGATTGTAACAGAAAAAGAAATAAAGTTTTGGCCAATAAAATTTCTAAAATGTAAAAAAAGACACAAGTTTGAGAGAAATATTCAAGGGCGAAAGGAGTACCTTTAAGTCCCGGATTCAGGTCCCAGTATTCGTTTGCAAGTGTGTCCCTAAACATGTGATTCACTCCTCTTTGTCAGGAAAGGCCGTGACGAAGAGGATCTGCGACAGTCTCTCCACCATTTTGCTCGCCTTGGTGAGCCACTGTGGCTTCTGCTGCCAAAAGATGCAGAGATAGTAGATGGGGATGCCCGAGAGGATGAGTGCGATGCCGAGGAGGAAGTCCCAGAACTCCGTGACGAGCGGAATGAAGACGAGGAAGCAGCAGAAGGCGAAGAAGACGATGGGAATGGCCAGATTCACGCGGATTGGACGGTGCATGGATGGTTGTGTTCTGCGCAGCCAGAACAGCGCCGCGATGCACGCCGTGATGCACAGCCAATAGGCATTGCTGGAGATGTTGATGAGGAAGAAGATGTCCCGCCAGAAGAGCATTATCAGGGCCAGGAGGCAGGAGATGATGAGCGACGGCACGGGCGATTTCTTGCTGATGTGCACCAGCGCAAAAATCGATGGCAAGTGGTGCTCTTCTGCGCCGATGGCGTACAAACGAGCCGACGTGAGGATGACCCCATTGATGCTCCCGAAGGTGCTCAGAGCCACGAAGATGGGAATTATCCAGGCCACGGAGGCGAACATCTTGTTGCCGAACAGCACGGCCGTCGCGAGCGAGCTGAGAATTTCTTGCTTCGTGAGCACGACAAAGTAGGCCGCGTTCACGAGGACGTAGACAATTGTTACAATTGGCACGGCGATCCAGATGGCTCGCGGGAGGTTTCTGCAAATAGAAGATGCTATGATTAGATTGGATTTTCGTTTAGATTACTTGATTGGATAGCAAAGTCATGACCATGAGTGTCTTTATGGCTAATACAATCAGAGGATTTTTTCTTTTCTCCATCTGCAAACACACTGAACTGAAAAGATTCATTATCACGGCCTCAATTGACTGTATAATTTTTGAAAAATTTAATATTTAAGGGATGTTAAATCAACTTTTTTTTAAGCAATCTTACTAGAAAAACCTTTTTTCCTCAGTTTTCGGTTTGAAATGCACGACAAAAAGGCTCTGTGGTGTGATTGGCGGCAGATGAAAGGGATTGAATGGCGGAAAAGTCTCACCGATAAGGATCCTGGAGCTCCTCCGTCACCATGTTGAGAATATTCCATCCGCCGAATGAGTAGAGGCCGGAATAGGCCGCCAAGCTGATTGATTGCACGCTGTAGGAGCCTGTCCACATGTCCTCGAAGTTGTCCACCCCCTCGGTGGCCATGGAGTAGAGCCCGAAGGCGATAATCACTGCCAGAGCGAAGAGCTTGGCCGCCGTGAAGATGTTCTGCACGCGCAGAGCCCAATTCACGGAGATGCAGTTCACGGCGGTGATGAAGCAGAGACAGAGCGCGGCCAGGAGGCGCACGGCGTCGTCCGGCGGCTCGCAGTCGGGGAAGAAGGGCTTGATGGCGTAGGTGGAGAAGGTGATGGCCGAGATGGCCAGGATCGTGGGTCGGCCGATCACCAGCGTGATCCAGAGGCAGAGGAAGGCGGCGAGCGGCCCAAAGGCCACCAGCAAGTATGCGTAGTCGCCGCCAGATCGGGTGATAAGGGTGCCCAATTCGGCATAGCACAGCGCGCCCAGGGCCGACACGAAGCCACTGAGTGCCCAAATGAGCAGAGACGCTCCGATTGATCTGTAACATTGGAAGCGGAAAATTTTCTTACGCCGCTGCTTGGCCAGAGTGTTTAGTGTTTGTGGGGGCAAAACTTACTCAGCATAAACAAACACTCCGGTCGGCGATATGAAGATGCCAGAGCCGATGATTGTGCCCACGATAATCGCCACACCACTCACAAGGGTGATTTTCCGCTCAATCACCACCTTTTCCACCGACATTCTTGCCTGATGTCCTTGCAGAGCTATCTTTAGCCTGGCGATCGCGATTGCGAAATGCGGCCGGGGGGATGAGACTCACACGGCGCGACAAGCCCCAAATATTCCACGCCAAGAGCACGCTAATATGACACACACCGTGACTTCGGCAGACTGACTCGCTGGCGAAATGTGCGAAGGAAGCGGCGTCGGTTTGTGCATATGGGAGAGACCGAAGACGCGGAAGAATGCAACAGAAGTATGCGAGAGTGGGCAAAAGGAAGAAAGAGAGGAGATATTGTATTTCTGGTTTCGGGGCATGCGCGCGCCTTTTTCGCCATATCGCCATCGCACTCGCACGCATAGCGCTTCTCGCCAGGGCGAAGAGAACTTGTTGAGGCCACCTCATCCTCCGCATCAACCACCCCATGTCACGCACATTCGTCAGCATCGCCACAATTTCAAGGACAGACCCGGAGGAGCAATTGAATTGCAAATTCCCACCGTGATTCTTCACTCGCTGCCACACAGAGATACGCTCCTCTTCGGCGCGCCCGCAGCCTCACAATAAAAGCCACACAACAATTAATTTAATGGACCGACAAGTGGTCGAGATTGCGACAAGAGGAGTTATATTGCCTAATCTTCAGCTTCACATTACATTGTAAACCTGCTGAACGGAGAGCCTAGAACTGAAGGATTCCGGAATTTCTGTAATTTTAATGATTATATAGAGTTAAAAAGATGGGAAATTCTACCCTAATTGCAGCATTTTCTCTTGTATTTCGCTAACGTGATTTTTCCTTAGCGAAGCTAATAAAATGCTGTGAAATACTTTTCCGTCATTGCGCACTGCTTCGCATCAAAACTTTTCATAAAATACACACTTGATGCTTTTCTAGGAATTTGGATATCACATCTAAGAAAAACTCAGAAATTGAGCGTTCTGTTTTGAGTAATAATTTACCCTCCAAAGAATTCGGTTGAATTCAATTTTATTTATCACTTATTTTGCATCACTAGCAATATGGCGTGTTACATCCAGGGCAACCAGCGAATGGTTTTGCGCGTGCTTGCACTGAATCTAAACCAAAAAAAATATTACACAAAGGTTAGAAAATATCAATTCTTAATATCCCAAAAGCGTTCTGAAATTACGGGCAGCAATAATGAGCAAGAAAGCAGCAAATCCATAAAGGAACTTCATTGTAAAACTGTTCAACAATGCAATTTTGAGAGAACTTTGAGAATGAATGACTACATTTTGAAATAAAATTTATTATTTATATATTGTACAAGTTGATAAATTAAATTTATTTAATTAGTTTAAATAATTACTAATTCGTCTTGAATGTTTTTTTTTTAATATTTATTTGCACATAGCGTGTTATTAGTTTTTTTTATTTAAAGAAATGTTGATGAAATTTTTAATTTCATGGAACAATCATTTAAAATAAATTTAACTTCAGCTTTGGTCTTGGTTTTGGCAATAACGTTCTTAAATATTCAGTGGAATCTCTTGAAAACCAAATAATTTAAGAAAGGGAGAGAAAACATACGAATTGATTGAACTTAAGCAGATTTATTTGGTCATCTTGCAGCTAACATATTACTCCAGGGAGGCAAGGAACTTCAGTCCCTGGGCGTGCTTGCACTAAATCTGTAAAATCACAATATTCAATAAAATAGTTCTTAATTTTATTTCTCATAAGTTCGATCTGAAATTACGGGCAGCAACAACGACCAGGAAGAAAACAAGTCCGTAAAGATATTTCATTGTTGAAGTTAGAAGTGTGAAATTTTGCCCTGACTTTAAGAATAACTGAGATTTAAAGTAGAATTTCACTGCTTATATATTGTATGAGTTTATTGGTTGTTTTGCTCCATGTAATCCTAATTGAAAATGGTTTAAACAAGTTAGAATTGCTTCTAACTATGTAGATAAATCTTCTCTTCGTTTGCATAAAGCGCTTCTCGTTGAAATTTTCAGTACATTTCCTTTCACACAATTTGATTATTTGTCGTAAATATACTGTTTATTGACCTAAGATGCAAATTGTTGGCCAATTTCTCAAAAAAAATATCTTTATTCCTTTATCAGAATAAACATAGATTGTCTGAAATAACAAAAATATTTGCATTTGGCCTATTTTCCCCTTTTATATTTCACAATAAGCATTTTTCTGAGTGCAGAATTTCTCTGTTGAGATTCTGTGTATATGAAATACAGCCAATGCACGCACCGTATAGGAACAGGAGAATGTCTCGGTCTCCTAAGACATTCACCCAACTGTTATACTTCCTATAATCTGCTTTAAAATTAAACATTCATCGGTTACAAATTGATAAAAATTCTCTGTTTAATGAAAATAGTATATATTTTACACAAATTATTTACTGTCATTTTCCTCCCTTTCGGTTTCCTTCTGCTCCAAATACTTATCCCACATTTTCAATCTCTCCTGGGCTTCCGTTTCCGTCTCCACAATTCTTGTGTTTGATACAATATAAGAAATAATAGAGTAAAATTTTTAACACTAAAGGAGAAACTATAAGAAATTACTTGAATTTCTTCTTTCCGTCCTAAATCTCAGCCGCCAATTTCCTCTTGCCGAAGAATCGTTCATCCTCCGGATCCTCTGGATCGGCCATTGTCACCTGAGCGACTCCTTCGGCGTGTCTCTGAAAAGACATCAAACAATACGATATGATTTTCACTTGGAGATTCACGCAAAGCACTTTCCATACATCGTATATAGCAACTTTGCGAACGGTTCCACACTTTGTGCACTCCTCCCTCAAGTCGCTTTGATACTCAAGAATTAATTGGACTTCCTTGTCGAAGGTCTCGAGGGCGAATAAATTTTTCACCACCACCCCCTTTTCATGCCGCGCCCGCTCGCCACGCATCTTGTCCGGGCGCCAGTCGAACAATCTGCAAGAATGATTAAAAATTCAATTAGGAGCTTTTTCATGAAACTTTCACACACACTCGCACAAAAATCGCACTTCTCCTTTATCTTCTTCATTTTCTCCTTGTCCTTCTTCTTCTTCTTCTGCTTCAATGCCGGATTGTATTTACCACGCATGTGAAATTGCGCTCTCTGCATTGTCAACTTCTTGCCACGCAATTCATAGCTATCGAGAATGTTGAGCGCCAACTTCACGGATTCCACCTGCAAATACAAGAGAAATGACATGTTAATTCTCAACAGATTGTGCAGAAAAAAATATACGGAAGATACTGAAGAAATTGATCCATTTCCATCCATTCATGAAGGAAAAAAAATGAAGGAATAAAATAAATGTGTGTTTATTTCAACACATTCAACAGATGTTTGGCATCTCCTTGAGAGTATAATTCCACATTCTTTTCTCACTTTCTCGCATTCGCATGAGCAATTTTCCCGCGCTTTTTTCCACAAGCGCCACACGATTGAAGCAAGAAGGCGCATGGAAAGCACGCTGGGTGGGTTGTTTTTGAAGGAATTTCACTCAAGTGATTAATCATCAAATGCTAAATCTCTGTGCACATGGCAAAATTATGCTGAATGTTTGATCTTGAAAATTTATTCACACCACACACATGAGTGATATTTCGGCATCGAGGGAATTTTCAGCAAAAATATAATGTTATTATATCTTTTGTTGCCACGCGAAATGAATACTCAACACTCGTGGTGCTTCTGTACAATTTCACCAACAGAACGAGCGCCTCGAGCATGTTTTTTTTTCTTTCAGCTTCACCAGCACAATTGATCACTTAGATATTGAGTCAATTTGGAAAGAGATCCGTGAAAGAATCGTGCTAGTTTCAGATTTCTCGAAGAATTCCATCGTGAATTCCATACATGAAGTTTGCGGTGATCCTCAACTTTCGCAAAAAGGAAAAGAATCTCCAATTCAATTTATTCAGAGACTCCAAATACTGACTCACACAGCATCTCTTCTCCCATAGATATCAGATTTACAAATTCTCCCTCTCTCGCCGCCTCATATCGCATTTTAAATATATACACACATCTCTCCTCTCTGATTGTCATGAGATAAAAATAGCACAGTGACGGAGAATAAAACGCATAAAATTTATGTGTAAATTACAAATTATACCACAATGTTGCCGCCAGATATTTTTAATATTGAGACACTTATTCACTTATTGCAGATATCATGGATGAAAGGGGAAAGATAAGAATTTATAATGTGACGAGATAAAAATCATCACGTTTTGCCCTCACGCAATCATCTTTTGCGCCTCTCATTGCGAATTCCACCAGATAAAACATGCATGAAGACAAGATATCATCCAAAATTCAACCGAATATTGATTTCTGGCATACTTTGTATGCCCACCCTTGGGAACAGCATTAAAAACACATTCCGATTTGCTCAAATCCGCTCGACCTCAATAAATTTTTAGGAAGCATCTGTAGGAATTGACAGTTTTACTAAAATCAACTGTTCAAAATAAACAGACACTCTCAAACAAACCTCTGCAAATTCAATCAAAACAATTATACATGCTTTTTATTGGCCACTCAACAAAGTTGAACCCAAAATTGCCAAATTGAAGCAATTCTCGTGTGATCTTTCGCCGAATTGACAATCCCAGCTTCATTTGCATTCAGTGGTGTGAAAGCCTTGAAAATGATCGTGTTAAATGATCTACAATATGAGTCTGCAGAGCAATAAATGCATCAATTGCTGAGATGATGTCACATCGCGAAAATGCTCTATTGCGTGAGTCCGTCAATTTAGTGCATTTCTCATATTCATATCTTCCGAAGGCGCACACAAAAGCCCAAGAATATGATTTACGATAGACTTTTAGGAGTCTCATTTTAATTCCCTTGACAATATATCGCCGATCTCTTCACATTCTTCGCGACCACATCGAATTGGGGCTTAGGATGTGATTTAACGAATCGATATAGAGTCAGCAAATAAAGCACAAGATCAGTATTTTATTAGCCACACTTCTCGGAAGTGGCAAATAAGCAATTTGTGGGCAGAAACACTTTTGTCAATAGCCCAAAAATAAGACGATCATCCCGCTTTTCACCACACTCGATTGCTCTCATGTGTTTTATGATGGCAATTTCTCAATTTACACCACGCAAGAAACCACACTTCAGTCGATCCCTCTCACCGAGGGCAAATCCATCAATATTATGCATCTGCACAAGTTCTTGGTCATATAATTAGTAAATAACGCGATGAAGAGTAATCTATTTGAAAATAGACTTTTATCTACTCAGCAGCAATATTGTCTATTTAGAGAGTGAGTTTCGTTGAAGTTTTCAGTGAGAGTTGAGACAATGTTTGGCTCACTTTAAGTGCAAAGAAGATCACGAGATTGAATTCCAAAACAGAAGATCATCATCAGCAATTCAGTTTATTTTCCTATCACATTCATCTTCCTCTTCTTCAGCTTGAAGGTTGATCAGCAATGGATGGACAATTGTTGATTTATTTACAATGAATGCTAAATAAAAATGTAGTCATAATAAGATATCAATGAATTTCAAGAAAGACAAACAAGGAAAAACGAGACAGATTGGCATTAAATCACAGAATATTCCGCTGTGGCTTCAACTCACTGATGCTTAAACGCTAAATTTCTTATTTTTCTCAATGAAATTCAGAAATTATAAGAATTAGCATTCTCACTCATTTCTTCTTCTTAAATAATTAAAACACAGCAAATATGGTTAGTTTGAGAATGATGAAAACGTGATTTCTAGCAAGTGACTTTTATTATCACAAGAAAAGAAACTATATTTTTTCACATGAATGTTGACTAATTGCGACACACTTAAGATAGAAAATTTCTTCTTGACTTCAGTCATTTAGAGAAGAATGATTAAGAGAAATATTAGCACACCTCAATTGATCTCCATTACGCCAAGCCTCTTGATTTGCAGCCCACAAACTGCCAATAGAATTCACTAATCAGATAAAGAGAGAGAGAGATTCTCCGGCAAATGCAGGTATTATTTGCATCCGCAGAATGCTTTCAATGTGCATGCAAAAACAAGAACTTTTGTGAATTGGAAAGTTTAGAGATGAATTCAGAAAAGTGCCAACAAAATGCTTACGTTTCAATTGGCCTGGAAAATTTATCTAACGTTGAATTTCAGTTGCACCATTTTGAGAACAAACTTTCTCTGCAATTTTGGGATTCTCGCGATAAACAATTGCACACCTTTGCCAGTGATATGCGAAGACGTACGCAAATAGACTTGTAAATCGACTGATTAGCCCATGAGTAATTTGCTGTGCAAGAGGCAGAGCACAATTAATTCAATCACAACACCGTCTAGCCGATAATGCTGAGGAGAAACTCTCCTAACATCATCGTTTTCCTCTAGTTTATCGTGAGTTGCAACTTAATTATAATAATCAATTACATCACGGTGCATTGAGTTCAATTATTGAGCGATACCGTCGCGAAAATTGAATTTATCGCCACGGATATTTGACCTGGGCCTCCGGTTGAGCTTTCTCAACACCGAAACCGCCACCTGCCAGGGGCCCCACCACTAAATACAGTCATTTCGCACAGTTACATCTCCCGCCTGGGCAGATTTAACCTTTCGGAGTGCGGTGAGTAAACAATTTATTGCCACTTTCATCTTATGCCGCTCATTTCAAGAGATTTATGCGCGTGGAATTGCACTAAAATGTTTGCCCATTCTTTAGGTGATCTGATAAAAGATATGTTGGGGCATTTGAAAATGCTATCCTTATCATAATATTCACCCCTTGGTGGAAAATATCATTAATAGGGAGAGAGAAAGAGAGAGAGGGAGAGAACATTTAGCTGCAGTGATAAATTGCATGGCAGCCCCAAATCGAAGTCCATTAAAACTGCCCATAAGCGAAAAACCTGGCAAAAACTACCATTTCTGATGCTATCTCGAACAGTAATATTCATTGTGATATCAAAATAATAATTTGCGATAGGATAAATTTGTCGCCCACACGCAAAATTACACCAAAACTCAATTATTTTCTAACATTACCTACCGCAATTTTAAATAATAAAAGCCACCCAAAGAGACAGCTAAATGATTTGTTCCGGATCAACGTGAAATTAACATCCCACATAATATTCTGAAATATTACTTTGAGAAAAAAAATCAAGATTAAAATGATAAAGAATGAAGTCATTGAGGACAGAATATTTGCTTTACAAATTTCACATCGTGATGGAGTGTGGAAAAAAAGGAGCCAAAAACCTTTTCGCATGTTAATCAAACTGTGGCACAATATCGTATTACCGAAAATGATTAATTGTCAATCGACCAATGAATCAATGGCTTCACATACAATTTATTCGTGAAACCATCTCGCGCCCCATCCGCCATGGGAGGAAATTTATTATTTCACCACTCATTTTATGTATCCACCGAACTGCATATTGGAGAGCTGCTGTGGCTTGTCCGCCCGCTTCTTGTGATTTATGTGCAATTGCTTTTAAGAAATATAACTCACTCCAGCATTTTCCACAACCTCTGAAACTCACATCGTGTGTGTGTTTGTTGTACATCTTTTTTTCTGCACTTCCACCCATTTTTTTGCCAACTACTTGTACCATTTTCAAATGACCATCATTTATCATCGGATGACCCATCGAGACACTATGCTTCACTTTATTGTCGCCCATAAAGTTACGCACAGAGATTTCATATGTAGGTGTTAATAAAAAATTGCTGACGTCTTGCGAAAATGAAACATTTTTGCTCAAGACAAATAAAAGTCCTCCCAGAAGCATTAATCACAATTATAAAAAAAATGCTTGATTAATCCAATTTCAATGACCCATTACTCAAATTGAATAGCATTAGATGGTGAATATGGAATGACACATGATGTGAAAATTATTATAATAGCATTTTATGGCATCACATATAAAGTTTCCCTCCTAAATAGTCTCATTAAAACGACAAAACAAGATACTACAATTAAATTTATGATCATGTCCTCCATCTCGCCAGGCCAGTGCACAGAGAGAGAGACAAGAAGCCACTTTGGGGCTCAGCTGCTCCATAACCCAAGAATCTCTGGACAATATCATATTTCCATAAGCTCACGGGAATTGTGCGCAACCATGGGAATTTTCAGCAATACCACCCCGTTTAATGTCCTTATTCTAGTAAAACACGCTGCAAAA